ATAACAAGCCCGATGCATTCCTCCACTTCAACCATCCAACTTGAATTCTGCTGATAATTATCCCCATCTATTTCACCATCACTCTGAAAAATAGACCCCAAGATATCTAAAACAAGTACACTTATTAATGACTTGATTCCTCAAGTCACAAACCCCCCATTAGATTTATTACTACTAAAATTACACTCCATATATTCCGTTTTATATCTACTCAAGCGAAAACCTTTAGACTCTAAGGTTGACCTTCATAATTCAAGTTTACCTTCAACTCTCTCTCTAGTCTTATCAACAAGAAGAATATCATCAGCAAAAAGCATACACCAAGGTACATCCTCTTGCAAATATCTAGTGAGTACATCCATGACTAAAGCATCCAATGAATTGCTTATTAAATAAGAAAATTTAAATTTATTTTGCATCCAATGAAAAAAAAAAAATCCTTTTTTGGATTTATTTTATGAAAATAATCTCGAGCAACACCAATTTCAGAGGACCCACTTATGATGAATTTATTCAATTTCAATTTATAACTGGCAATGTGCCCATCTTATATCTGTAATGGCCTTGGGCCCACTTGATGAAAAAATTGGATATATTTCAATATTTGGGGAAAAAAATCAACCTTTGGAAATCAAAATGCATTTATTTAGCAAAGCATTCTCAATATTCATGTGTCCAAATACACCCAACCAAATAGCTTCTAAATAAGAAACTGTGGGCTTAAATTTTTCTGTTACCTTTGTATGGATCATCTGTAATACTCATGGAAGTAACGCTTATGACTGTTTATGTCACTTCTTGAATGTTTTGCTTATGACTATTTATGGCTCTTCTCGACTATTTTCCTCAATTTAGTTTTTTTTAGCATCTTATTTGTTTTTATGATTCTCCTTTAGTTTGTCCGAACAGGTGATGTTTTGCTGCTAAAATACACAATTGTGGAGGTTCAACAGATTCTATCTAATATACATGGTGACAGTGAAGTGGCAGATGTGAACGTTGTTTGTTCAGTTGAAGTCTTTGGTTATAGAAAAGATTTAAATTTGGTAGATGCTGTTCTTTTTAATATCTACTTATGGTGTAGCACTCAACTAGAAGATTATCACCTTAATTTTTCTGAGGTGAGTAGTTTGTGGATATTTGGTTTTTTATTGCATATTCGGTGATTATGTTCTGCACTAAATCAGCATTTTTTGCATTCTTCTCCTCTTTCTAATCCTTTCAGTTAGCATATTCATTCCTTTAAATTCATATGTATATGTATGTTTATTTGTGTTCTAAAGTTACCCTAACTAGTAATAATACAACAACATCAAGCCTAACTAGTAATGGACAAAAAATTTTTTGTGACTGTTATTGGGACATCATGTAAACCTTGCCGCACAATTTTGTCAAACTAATTATAAATTCATAGTCGCTTGTGACGTAAAGTTCCATATTGTTCTTATTATAAATGGGTTGCCAAATGAGTTCACATAATTGATAGATTTTTCTTACTTCCCCCAACAATGCTTCAAACTATGGACTTATTCTAGAACGTTTAAATCGATAGAATGCTTCCTGCGAATATTAGCTTTTGTATCCTTGATCAATTGCTCCTTCATTTTCAAATATTTTTTGTTTTATTTATTTTTCTTAAACGTCTAGGAAGTTTGTAGATGCTCAGCCCTTCTGTCTCATGCACTCATGTTCTTTGTGTGCTCATGTATACTTAAAAGGTGCTGATTCGAAGGAATGCTACAAGGGGCTAATACTAGTCTTATTAATATATCAGCCATGCACTTGCGTAAGATTATTCATTGTGATTCTATCACTGTTAATTGTTTGTCCCATTAACAAACTGTTGTCCAGACTGCTGAAATGTTTGAACTTGTATCCTTTTTTTTGTGAATTATAATATCATCTCTTCCATCAATTCTGCATATTTTTGTGACGTTTTGATGATTTGCTTGAGGAATGTATCTATGTTGGCTATTTTTTAAATCCTGGATCATAGTTTTAATTTTCAAGGATATTTAAAATTTTTCGAACTCTTTTAACTAAAGCATTGAATTTGGTTATTTTTATAATCAAGCATTAATAGATTCTTACTTGTTTGTATGTTTAGGGCGATTCTCAGATCTTCGAGGGCATTCTGACGCTGGCATTAATCTCAGGTACAAGGTTTTCCAACGAAATTATTGAAACGAAGGTCTCTAACCCATCACATACTGTAAGTTATAGTTGCTGCTCGTGATTTTTTAATGATTCATATTTTTATTCATATTTGTGATCTATTAATGATTCATAGTGTAAATATTTATCTTGTGATGTGGCCTGTTGTATTAAATTGGGACTTCGATTATATTTTCTTTGGAAGGAATTTCATTTATGTTCACTTCTAAACTATTTAAATTTAGTTGAATGCCCTAGTTGTTTATCTTCTACCTGACGGGACAATTCCTGTTGAATTGATGAAGCCAGGTTCCTGATTTTATAATCTCCAGTGGACATTGGAGTGCAAGTCTTGTATTTTAACCTAGTTTTTCTTGATAATGCAAACATGATAATTTGATTTTGACCTATTGTTTTTTTTTTGAATGAAAAGAGCAATAGCTTTGTGTGGAGTCAAATCCAAGAAATAGATTGAATTATTTTCTTTCTCTTTGATTCTATTATTTCACATTCCCAATTCACACCAATGCAAGTAAATAGATTGTTTTTTTTGTTGTTTTATTATTTTGGGTTTTCCAAGCATAGCTGATCTCACACTTTATGTTGCTTTGATTGTTCTCTCTCCTGAACTTATTCTGTTTTCATTCTTGTCTTTATATGCTTTTTCTTTTTCTGCCTTAAACATATATTTGCTCTGTGGTAGTGATTATGGGCTTCTTTTAATTTTGCTCTCTCAGATATTGAAGATTAGATGTGTAGTTTTACATTTTGTAGTATTTGTTTTGTTTCAGCATCCAGAGGCTGAGACTGAAAATGGAGATACTTCCAAGTTAGTTCGTCTATTTGTTGAGAGGTCCATTCAACGAACATGTCAGCGGGTGAGATATTCCTTTCCTTATGATTCACCCATAATTGTTAGCCTTAAAATAAATTGCAATCAGGAATTTAGTTAGCTGGATATTTTAGGTCCAAGATGCTTTGGATGCCAAGTCTAAGAGGGAACAAAAGCACCCTTTGGCTCTATTTGCGAAGGAATTAATTCTGTTTGCTGAGAAGGAGTACACTTTGTTTACCCCAATATTATGTCTGCAGTACTCAAATGCTGGGGTTGTTTTTTCTGTTATCCTTCATCAGTACTATTGGGAACAACTGGTAACAATGTCTTTTCTTTACCTATTCCTTGAGATAAAGCTAATGATACTTACACCAATCATTTTTTGTATTATTTTCATCATCATCTAGAAGCCTTTCCTGGAGGGCATATCAGGTTTCTCTGAAAGTGCAATTCCAGTGCTTTCAGCATCGTATAGTTTAGAGCGCTGTCTGGCTAATATAATCAATTCTACGAGTGGTGAGAGCAAACCATTGCCTATCACCAATTATCTTGATCCTTACCAGGTAATTTGATGGTACTTATTCTTCCTGAACAGTAGATAGATTATTGTTTCCTTGCGGTAAAGCTTGCAGCAGGGGTTGATGCCAAATCATGAACACATTGAAATATTTGATTCATTGCTATTATTTCCTACTTGAAAGACGAATACATATTGTTGCTGCTTCTAGTTGTTTCTTGATGCACTTGTGTTCATATGCTCTCTTTAGTTGATTTAGTTATTCTATGGAATTTGATTGGTTCAGATTTGATGATTAAACAGGCTATTGGTAGGATTTTGTGACATGAAATTGGTTACCTAAAAATTGCAGGATCTGTTGTTTTTTGCTGTGAATATTTCAGCATTATAAGGTGTTTGCGGGTTCTTATTAATAATTACCACCAATAACAAGTTGAAATGGTATTTGAAGCTCAAGAATGTTGCCAATTTCCCTAAAATGGTGTGAAAGCAAATATAAATTCCCATAGCTAATGCACGATTTTGAGTAAGTTTCCTATAGCATTTACTACTGAACCAACTAACCAAGGATGGCAAGAAATATATAGTCACCAATTTGATGAAAAACTGTATTCTGTAACACTAGGTACATTGTTATGTTTAGTGGCTTGCGATTGAAAACAAAATGGGGAAAAAAAATCTTTTTGTTGTAGTGATTTAAAGAATTTTTTTCATTTTCTGGCTTGAGCATTTTTTCCCCAACTATAAAAATGTTTTTATAGTTGGATGATGTTTCATGATTAAATTAAACATTTTTGAACCTACTGAAGTGTTGCATGAGGCATTGGTCATGGGTTTTAGTAGACGTGCGATGCTGTTAAGGTAAGGAGCATGCAGGCAAGCTTTGAAGTAGGGAAGAGAATGAGACAATGATGGATAAGGGTGTGAAGGGACTGTAGGGTTGGGAGGCTGGTTTGAGGCTGCAAATTGTTTTTGTGATCTGGGGTTTAGTAGACTTCTGATCATTTAGCTTTAGATACTTTGCTTGATGTTGAAGGTTATCGGCTTCTAAGGTCTAGATTGAAAGTTGAAGGAAAAATCCCTATTGCTACTGTATTCAGTTCACGCTCTCGGTTTCTTGCATCAGTGAAAGAATCTGCAAGTAGGTGAAAAGATGCTTCTGAAGGTGTTCCTTTTAAGTCCTTTGTTGCTAGCGGAGTGCTGCAGCTTGCAGACTTGAGGTCATGAAGTCTAGAGATTTTATTTTAGGAATACATTGTGGGGATTTGTGGTGGTGAGAGTTATTGTGATGGGGACATCAGAGCTTGAAAAGTCTATCAGAGACGTGGCCGTCGATCTACGGCCGCGATTGAGTCGATGTATTTCTGAGTCGTATTATGTATTTGTCTTTTATTATTTTATGTTATGTTATGTTGTATTTGCTTTGTTATCTTTTCCACTTTTACCCCTTGCTTAATGGAGGTCGTGTGTAAGCCCAAAGGGCAATGTTGTCTTTTTTTTTTTCTTTAGTCCTTTGTACGAGGCTATATATAGCCCTTATGTTCTCTTTTGATGCTTAATGATTGAATGATAAAAACAATTTTCATTGCTTGAGTTCTTTGTGAGATCTTGAGAGTGTTTGGGAGATAAATCCCTAGGAGAGGGAAATCGGATCACCCACCAACCTTGGATACGGCCGGGTTCGTGGTTCTTGTCACTATCTCTTTTCCTCCTCCCTTCTTACCCTAGCCGCCGGCTACCTAAACCCCTCTCACCACCCAAGCCGCCGGCCATCTTATCCCACCTTCGTTGTCGGCTAAATCTCCCACCTCCACCCCATCCGACCCAAGCTCCCTCTTCCCCAACACCACCCCAAGGCCACACCATAAGCCGCCAACCTCCATTGGGCTTTCCCTCCATCATTGCTTGCAATTACCCCTTTCCTAATTGGGTTTGAATATTTTAGGTAAGACAATTGCTTTGCAAATTCAAATTTATTTGAATTTGAAAAGTTTCCTAAAATACCATTTCTATTTTAGGAAAGTTTCCAAATCCTTTCCTATTTGATTTTAATTTAAATTGAGATGAAATATCTCTGCCCAAATTTAATAACCTAATTTAAGGAAGCATTAAAAGCTTCCTTAATTCCCTCCCTAGCCCCCTATGCCACCGCCTCCCCTAATTAATTCCTCAATGTATTTCTTTCCTAAAGCTCATCCCCACTTCTAGAAATAATTCAAATCTTCATACCCCCTCTTTGGCCAAAATTCCCAAGAGCCCTCACTTCCTTAATACTTTCCAAAAACTCATATTTAGCTTTGGAAATAAATCCCCAAACCCCCTCTCTTGTCGCTGCCCCTCCCCCTCTTTCTCTTCTTTAATTATTCTCAATCAAGGGATTAATTAGAGAGTTGTTTGAAACACTTTCCCTCCACCAAAATCTGAACCAAATTAAATTCCCCTCCTTCCTTCCTTGACTAGCCATCCCCTCCTCTCCCCTTCAATTTTGAGAGAAATTTATTTCTCTCTAGTGGAGCTTCAAAGGATCGCTACACATCATCCTTCAAAGCCAATGAATGGCCGATCTGGAGCTTGATTACGGATTCGCTTACGACGAACAAGGCAATGTCAACATCATCCACTCTACTTTCTTCGACTTCAATCCAGAAGTTGATAACTCTATTGAAGCGTACGTGGACCACATCATCTTCACGCTATCGGAGGCCATCGACGAGCAACTTGCCAACGTCCAGTGGCAAGCCGTTTCCGAGCAACCCCAAGGGTGAACTTCTTCCCCTTTTTTAGTTACTTTACCTAATCCGCTCATCTTGTAGGTGGTGATCCAGTCGCAAGGAACCATGCTTCGCCTTCTGCCTAAGCTTAGTAAACGTAGGATTGAGTGTGCTTTCTATGTTGCTATCTTATTTTTAGATCAGGGATTTTTGTTGAAAACTACTTAACTCGCATGTTGTTGAAATTCTAAGTTGTCTTGATAATCCAAGTGTTTAGCATATGACTTGGCCTAAGCGTAGCTACCCCTCTTATGTTTTCTTTATCGTTTTGATTACTAATAGTTTTAAGCATAATTGTTTTTATCAAGAAATCGTGCAAGTTCTAAAAGCATTGTAGTCCTACATCATATTGGCTTCTAAAGTTTAGGTTGTAGGTTAAAGGAAAATTCCTTAAAGCATAAAGTAAAAAAAAAAAAAAAATCCATATTGCCACTATATTGAACTTTTGTTCTCAGTTTCTTGCATCAATGGGTGGAAACTGGAAGTGGGCGATTGATTAAAGTACGTTCTAGCTTTCTCTATTCAATTGCACAGCACAAATTTTCCATTATGATTGCTGTATGTTTATTAATTATGGTGGAAAGCTATGTTTTTTTTATTTTCTACCCTTTTATTTTATACCTTTTAAGGATATATAATTATGTAGATGGATGCAATTTATGTGTTTGATATATATTTTTCAATGGATCTGAGCTAGTGACGTTTGATGATTGGTACAGTGTTTTTCTTCGCCTAAGTCTGCATTGTATTATATTTTGTGTCAACTTGTAGAATCCTTTTAAGCTTAATGTTCAAGAATTTGGCAGGATGGTGACTCCACAATGATTGATTATGTGTTTCTGCAGATAAGACCTGTTTCTGCTCCACTCATTCTTCATTTGGTGAATGTTAGACACGAGAAGATCTTGGGATGGACAGAACGTGCTATTCTTATAGAGGTTGAGATCTTTTTCAACAATTAATACGAACTGTAAACTACATATATTTTCCATGATTATTTGACAATTAACCCAAAAATTTGCAAATAATTGAATACATTCATGTCAAGGGGGGCTTGCTTAATTCTCAGTCATTCATACAATGTTAAAACATTTTTGTTTTTAATGATTCTTGCTCTTAATTATTTGCTCTTGTTCATATCCATAATGTTGTGGTGAGTTCTGCAATGCTTTATGGCATAGATGTCGGCCATTAAAAGAGAAGCATAAAATTAAGTTAAGTGTTATAAGTGTTGCAGAGATGAGAATGATCAAGTGGATGAGTGGCTTCACTCTGAGAGACAAAATATAAAATGAGTATATTCATGAAAAGGTTGGAGTAGCTCCAATAACATATAAGATTAGAGAGAGTCGCCTTAGATGATTTGGTCATTGTTAAACACCAATACATTTCATTAGATCCTAAAATGATACAAGAAAATTGTGAAGCATGGGCTACTAACATGAATGACCAACCTACAATCATCAGAGTCTACCAAAGAAGAAGAAGAAGATCTCCAAAATAGTCAAGCTTGGTAACATAATTAAGTGGTCTACAAATATGTGATAAGATTTACTTTATTTTGTTATTTTAAGTAAGGTAGACCAAGTCTGCCTATTTTATTTAAAGGTATGTATTAGGTAGATCAAGTCTATTTGATCTATCTTATAAACTTGGTCTATCCAAGTAAGCATAAATATACCCTATTGTAATCAATTAAGCATATATGAAAATTTCTGGTTTCTCTCCTTTTTTTCCTCCCTTCTATTTTCTCTTGGAGTTCCCCTCCCCACTTCTTGGCCTCCCAGAAGCATATCAATGATGCTCTCGTTGAGTTAACCTCCTGCCATTGCAAGAGGTTCTTCCCACGTTCCAGATCTTCTGTCCTTCCCACAGTCCAGATTTCAAGTTATGCTGCCCACGGTCAAGATTGCAAGTTCTGTTGTCCTTCCCACTGTTCCTTCAGCCATCAGGTTGCATACAAGAACGCATTCACCCATTGTTTTTCTCCTATCCGTAGCTGCTATACTCCTCCAAGAACCATTCAGTCTCACCTATCTCCTTCAAGCATTCAGCCAAGAACTGTCTCCTGTCTCCTGCAAGAACCATTCACTTGAATAAAACCCCTGCAAGCAGCAGTTCTTAGCCGCAGAATCGAGCCAAGAACTTTTCTGGACCATTCTTTCAGCCGCAACAGTTCATTACTTGCCTGCAGCCCGTTCTTAGCTGCAGAATCCAGCCTGCAGCCACACTTGATTACTCGCATCAGTCTCGAAGAACTGCTCTAGACAGCTCTTTTCTACATCCTAACAGCGGCAACATCTCAACAACCGGTGTTGAGCCTCCTGACAGCGCAACAGCATCCTGACAACCCCACATAGCCTTGGTTTAACTCTGTACGCGCAAGCCTGCCTCAGCCAACCTCTTTTGCACCAATTATAATATCTGCAAGAACCTCCCTGCATTCACCGATTGTCTTTCCAACAAAATTCAGCAAACTGGAATGATTCAAGATTCCCCGGCAAACCTAGCTTGGACGACACAGGAACAATATTTTTAAAATTTACATCAGGTTCTCTGTTTTCTTGTTTTTTGCTGATTTTTTTTCTTTCTTATTCCACACATTCTACTCATTTTTCTCTTTCATTTTGGTACATGTACTTATTCTTGTATCCATGATTTTCTTTTTTCGTACCCAACATGAAGAATGCGGATTTTCCCTAAGCTTTACGCTCAATGCAAAATAATAAGGACTTGCAATTTACCGAAATTCAAAAATCTCTCCAACAAACTAATCTTCAATTTACTTCCATTGGCACATCTGGCCAACAATTTCAAACATTCATGGACTCCATGGATAAGCATCTTGACAGCTTATGCACTGATCGATCACCTTCCTTTTGCAATCAAGATCTTGCTTCCTCCGTTGGTATTCTTGGATCCGTTGGTCCCCTTCCTACTCCACAATCGATTCCCATCTTTCTAGGTTTTCCTTATGAAAAAACTATGAAATTGATCTTCCTTTAATGGATCTGATGTGGAAACATGGATTTTTAAAGCACAAGAATACTTTGAAAAATACTCTTAAACATCATCGAGTTAGAATTGAAGATTAGGATGAAGGGTCAAATTCTGTCTTGGTTTGATTTTATGTTATCTTTACAACAACTATTTGGTCTTTCTTCTCATGTGAATTTTTTAAAATTAACCTATCAAACTTCTATTTTGGATTATCAAAATTATCACTTATGCAAACCACTCCAAGAGTTACCACCACCACGAACCATTAACCATCGTGTTCATCTTCCATCTTTATCCAAACCTGTTAACATTCGTCATTATCGTTATCCACATTTTCAAAAGGATGTGATGGAGCAATTAGTTTCAGAAATGTTACAGTATGGTAGTATTTACCATCGCCATAGACCTTTCTCTAGCCCTGTCCTTCTTGTTAAGAAAAGAGATGGCACTTGGTGTTTCTGTGTTGACTATCGTGCCTTGAATACCCTTATTAGTAAAGATAAATTTCCTATTTCAACTATGGATGATCTGCTTAAAGCCAGTTTTATTTTTTTTTTCTAAACTTGACTTTTGCTCCGGATATCATCGAGTCCGTATGCAACCACATGAAATTCATAAAACTGTTTTTCGCACTCATGATGGTCACTATGATTTCTCGTTATGCCTATCGGCTTAACAAATGCGCCATCTACCTTTCAAGCCTTAATGAATCAAATTTTTTGATCTTTCATTCGGAAGTTTGTAATTATTTTTTTTTGATGATATGCTCATGTATAGCCCTACTCCAGAACTTTATGTTGATCACCTCCTTTTATTTCAATGTTTAACTACAAACAAACTGTTTCGTAATTTAAATAAATGCTATTTTGTCAATCTTGCATCAAATATCTTGGTCATATTATATCTTCTGTAAGTGTCCAACCCGTTCCTAAGAAAGTCTCCGTTATGACTACTTGGCCTATTCCTTCATCTGTAAATCAACTTCACTCCTTTTTGGATTTAACGGGCTATTATCTCCACTTCATATCAAACTATGCTTCAATTGCATCTTCTTCAATCTATTTACTCAAGCATGACTCTTTCAAATGGAATGACTCTACTTATATTATCTTGAATAACCTCAAGAGAGCAAATGACCACAACCCCTATTTTATCTTTACCTGATTTTTCAAAACAATTTATTATTGAAACGATGCTTCAGACATTGGTATTGGAGCAATTTTGCTACAAAACAATCATCCTATTTCTTTCTTTAGCTCTCTATAATTCATATTCATGACATGATTTGTTTGGGTTTCATCATCAAGGTTGTATAAGTAGCTACTAAAGGTGCATTTTTGTCAATTAGAATATCTTGGCCATGCTAAACAAAAATGGGATGGAAACGAAGGAGTTACGAGGCTTTGATGAAAGAAGCCACTAGAATTCTGCTTGTATTCTATATTATTATCTAATTCTCTTCACATTAAGCTTTGAAAAATGTTGCAGCCTTGTTATTTCTCTGGTTTGGGACTAGCCACTAGGTGCATTTGCATCAACTAGCATATATTTTCCATAGAAATGCAAAACAAGGTTGCGAGGGATAGAGGATTAGATGAAAGTAACATGTAGATTTAACTAAGAATTGTGCTTGCAGTGTATTTTTTTTGGCTAATTCACTATGTTGATCTTTGAAAAAAGATAGACCCTATGATAGTCTCCTATTTGGACTTGTTTTGTAAATCCTACGTTTGAAATATGATGAAAGGAACCATTCAAGCTATATGAGGCCTACGGCTTGAAATATGATAAAAACAACCGTTCAAGCTTTTGGCACAAATAAAATGTTTGATTGAAAAACTAATATATGAAGTGGCTTACTATCTAAAGCTCTAATGTAAATGCATATACCTGAAGTATCCATGCTCTTGAACGCTTCCATACACGCTACCTTATGAACTGAATGGGCTGGCTTGCTATATTGGCTTCTATGTGAACATGTATGCTTGAACATAGCACTTACGCATGTGATTCATCTCAATTATGCTGGTCGTGGTTGGATGTAGGTAAATTTACACATGGGCGGTTATGCTTGCTTGCAGTGTGTATGCAGACGTCTTAACATGTGTTCAGACTTTACATATATATATAAGATGAAGGATTTTAGAGATCATATCATATACGCTTTCTTTAGCATCCTTCATTTACCTCAGAAGATGTTTGCTAATTATATATTTATTCTTATAATCTATAGAACTGGGAGCCTTTGTCATCTCAACAGAAGCAAGCAAGTTCTGTTATTGAAGTATTTCGAATCATTCAGGAGGTTTGTTTCTTTCTTAGATGTATTTATGTTCATTTCTATGACAAGATTTTGGTTAGTGCTGCTGATTTTTTTTCTATTTCTTTATACGCCTCAATGTGAGGCTTTAACATTTGTAGGATTTCTTTTTAATGCAATGTGCCTACGACTGTTTAGATAGATGCTCCTAGTGTAATTATTCCAATGTACATGAAGTTTGGATTTTCAATATTTTCAAATGTTAGATTGAACTACAATCAATATCTTACTTTATAAATGTTACATTGAACTACATATGTATCGATGCTATATATCCAAACTAAGGAAGCACAAACACTCCTAAATGTCTCTTGTGTCCATGTAGGACATTGACACATATTTGACACGCCCTAATACATGTTCACACTTTAAAAATCATGTCCTAGATTTTAAATATGTAATTGGATCTGACACAAGCTGGGCATGATGGAACATGGATTGGACACGGTAGTTAATATGCAGAAGTATGGAACTCAAAATAAAGTCTAATTCATGTGAATAGCTGTAGGCCTAGCCGTCTTGCACTCTTGCCGCTCCGGTTTGTCAAAGTTGCTTGCCATCTTGTGATGAGTTTAGTAGAAAATATTATAAATTATAGATTTCATATTAATAATTTATAAAATATAACTTTGTATCCATTTCATGTCGTGTCTTGCATTTTGCAGTTATGTTATATCGTCGTGTCTGTGCCGTGTTATGTTTGTGCCCATATCCGTGCTTAAATATGGTTTGTTTTGAGATTATCTCATTATTATTATATGCTTTATTAAAAAAATTTAGTGGGAAGTTAAGGATAACTAAAGCTACAATTTATTGAATGCTCTAAAGAAGGGCTTAACTAGATTTTTGTGAACGCTCTGTTAGTAATGCGCCACACAATTAAAATCTCAAAAGAGAACCCTTTGCATTAACTCTTGAGCTTGCCATTTATACAACATCAAAAGAATCATGTGTAGTCAAATATATTTATTAAATATGTTTTGAGTTGTCAAATATTTTTTATTAAAGAAACTATAATTGATGAATATCCATTTGAATATGAATTAGATGTTTACAATTAAAATTGGATTCCTTTGGTGTTGTGGAGTCTGAATATGCACATATATTAGCATGTATTCTCAGATTTACATTTGAACAAGAGTTGAAGCTTGAGTTTGAAATTTTGTTTGAGCATGAATCTAAACCTTTGTTGGAAACTGAATTTATTATTCAAATTAAACCTAAAATCATATCTGAACCGAAGGTAGAACTTGATTGTGAATTTGAACTTCAATAAAAATCAATGCTATTCTTGACAGTGAACCTAAATATATAATAAAAGTTTCCTGAATTTGAACTAAGATTTTGATAGAAATTGAGTCCATTGAATGTGAATCTAAACTTTTAAAAGGTGTTTTTAATATGTTCCTAATTAATAATTATGTAATTGAAAAAGTCATGTCTATTAAAGTTAATGAGCCTTATTAATAATTTGAAAGTAATTCTTAAATGTGAATGTGAATAATTTGTGCATGCTAAAGATCAGAAATAAATTAAGTAAGCTAATTTAAATCCTAATGAATGTTTAACGAAGTTATCTATTCAAATCAAATTGAAATTGATTTTGTTTTTTGTTCCTGATTTTTTGACATACAAATTCACATGTAGAGACTTGGGCATATGCAATTATATCGATATTTTGATAGATTTGCTAATAGAAAAATGCATAAAAGAAACCCATGTTTTAAAGTTTAGTCAAATTTGAAATTGCATAAATCATCACCTTTAGTATTTAAATCATCTGGGTTAATTTTTTTTAAGGAGGTTTTCTATCAATAGAATCATTTTATATTTTTGTGGCTTGCATTTTTCTTTTTTCTTTTTTTTTTTCAATTTTTGTTATTGTCTTATCATGTATCATTAGATAGGGGTGTCAAAATAGGTTTTCGGGTCGGGTTTGGGTTAAACTTGAAATTGACCTGCTCTAAACACATCCGACCCATTTGTCCAAACAGGTTAAAAATTTAGACCCAAAATTTATGACCTAAGTGTTAATATTTTACTTATACATAAGACATTCCCTTGTGAGAAAGGGTTGAATTAATAATGTGTTTTTAGCTCATCGTGGTGTGATCCATTAATTTTGTTATGACATTTTGCATGATACCATTATTAAAATTGTAGCTAATTAACCAAAGTTAGTTTCTCGATTGTTATTTAACAGCATGGTTTAAAATTGCGCAATATGAGGCTCGCCTTGAGGCCCGCCTTTGCGCAATTCCAGTAAAAAACGCCTCGATGCTTACGCCTCGAGTTTTTTTTATGAGGCTTGCACCTCAACTTGGCTGAGGTCCGCCTCGCCTCACTGGCATGAGGTTTACGCCTCATGCTATATATATTAAAACTTACATAAATCTTGAAGTAAATGCCCGACATTGGACTCTATAGGAGAGGAGGAAGGGTAGAGAGCAGTTCATCATAATGATGATTCAAATGAAGAACCCCTTAGTGATGACAGTGCTGATGACTTATGAGTTCTTATGTGATATGTCATTGTTATTTATTTTTGGAAATTGAAAATATATTTTAATGAAAAGAATATTGGGATTTGGGAAAGATAGAATTTTGAGTTTAACTATATTTCATGTTGTCTTATTATTGGGATATTTTGATTTCACTTCATATCTTATGATTTTTTATGTTTTATATTATTCACTCATTAGTATATAAAAAATGTATCATTTTATGTTTACGCAATCTTTTGATTTTGAGGCTTACGCCTCGCCTCACGAATAAAAAACGCCTCAATACCCGAGTACGCAATTTTAAACATTGTTTAATAGATTAGTAGATGTTGGGTCATTTAAAACTACTAGGCACAAACACTTCCTAGCTTGCATTTTCGAGAGGTTTGGGCTTGGTCGTAGTCACTGGTCCTTAAATAGAAGCCAAATGGTTTTCTGTATACTTTCATTTCTGATATGATGAATGTGTGAATTTTCTTAGTAAAAACGAGGAAAATACTTTCAGTTTCAATAAATTGCTAGATGTTAGCTTGTTAGAGACATGAAACTTTGAAATTACTCATTATTATAATTTTTTGCTGTCATTATAAAGCCTTATTTCAACTATTTGGGCTTACTTTTGTAGTAGGTATGCCATTGGATCATGAAAATCCTAGTTTTCGGGTGGGGAGTTGGGGGGGGGGGGGAATTAAAGAGGGGTGGGGGGGGGGGGGGGGGGGGAATTAAAAAAAAAAAAAATTCTAGTTTTCGTTATCTATGATAAATTATACTGTTTTTTCCATATTACTTGTTCTTTAAAAAAAAAATGAACTTGGAATGGATTACTTTACATACAATTCTATATGCGCTTCTTGATTGACAAGGCTTTTTATATTAAGCGACTTATCAATAGAGGCGTTGAAAGTATGGGTGTAAACTAGCCAAGTTTGAGCGATCTTATTTTGTGTTTGTATTTGGATAGCTGCCATCAATTGATCTCCAACATAATACATCGTAAGTGTATGGATTTTCCTAAGTTAAATGCTGATTTCAGTACATAATTGTCTTTTTTACTTTGCTGGTTGAAAAGTGATTGTCTGAATTCTGGGTTGTTGGTTCTGAAGTTGGATGAGGAAGGAGTTTAGCAACTGAATTGTATTTTTTTTGTCACATCTCAAAGTTTCTGAAAAATCCCATTACAGCAGGACTTGATAGTTTCATTTCTTAAATAGGCCCTGTTACATTATGTTTTTAATTGTGTTGCATTTATTTATGTTTATCTTCGTTGTGAAGTATGCAATGATGTGCAGGCTATTGATCAATTCTTTGATTTGATCCTTCCCATGGAGACCATCCACTTGCGATCTTTACTTATTGGGGTTGTTAGAAGCCTTGAAGCTTATTTACAGCACATAATCAGCCACCAAGGTAAATGTAACCCGTTGTACAAAAACATGCTCAAATGTCTCAATAATTTCTATTTGTTATAGTTTTTTTCAATAGCCTTGTGTTCTATGCCTAGCAGTTGGTGTGTGTTCTGCTGGCGTAGAGTTGGTCGGGATTTGTTAATTTAAGTTGCAGAAGTTTTGCTGTTCTTTCTTGTAATTACCCTCTTAAGTTGATTAAATTTACGATTTTCTCTTAATACAAGACAATTTACTAGCACGAGCCATTGGTTTCAGTATCTGTAAACTTGCTTTGGAAATATGTGCAGTTTCCTGTTTGAGATGTGCAGCAGTTTCTTATATTTTCAAAACAACATCAAATTTATGAAGCAATATAAAAATATGCATGTTAGACAATGGTCAGGGTTTGATTAAGATTTTTATTGTTGAAATAATCTTGAATCCGTTACAGTGGACAACAACCTTCCATTTACACCGATCAAACAATACGTTGGCAAATATTCAAACAATAATGTAACAATTCTGGATTTTAAAATTTAAGATTGTTTTAAAAATTTAGTTTTTTCCTAGACTGTTGGTTAACCACTTATTTATGTGCAACTTCTTATTATTTTTTCTATAGAATAATAGAATAAAATTCAATTATAAAATGTAGCATTTTTACTCTCCTTTCTTTTCATTATAATTTCAAAGTGGTATCAGAGCTTTTCAAAATAATTTCTGCTTTTTATGTAAAACCCTTTGGGTGTTTGGACTTCATTCATAATTATTTTTAGCACTAGAGCAAAGTAGATCATAAATCTTTTAATGGTTTGTTTATTGGACACTTCCCAAATAGAAAGGGTACAAATTCTATTCTTTGATCTTTAGAAAAATTTACAATTATATAGTTGACTTTTCTTGGACACTAACCTTATTACTACAAGCCTGAAAAGCTCAGGTTGGAAATTCAAGAACATGAATTTCAAGGTTGGAATTCATTTGATTGTCCACCGTTCTCTCTCATCAAACCCAAGAATAATGACCTTTTCTCATTGTTCGTTATTCAACTTGCTAAAGCCTCACTTGAACTTCAAACTCTCTTATCACATTGTCAATACATCTAACTTATGCGTAATAAGCTTTGTGTCTATATTAGGAGGGAAAAAATCAAGAAGAGCAATCAACATATCTTCAACACAACTAAAAATTCGAACCTGGTTTAAGGACCAATGAAATATAAATTGGTGATAATAAATTCATAGATGATTATTATAACACCTACTATCCTATTGCCTTAAGGCGTGGGTTTTGTACCAAACACGCTATCAATATTTCATGACTGATAAAGGGCTTATACTTTGATTTTTTCTTATTTTGTCACTTTTCTTAATATGATACAAATTCTAAACAATGTTCATAAAGCATCTCAAAACCTGAGAGGAAGTTATGATTGAAAAAATCCAAGCCTAGAAAAGAATGGTATAAGAGAAGTTTTGAACTTAAACCAGAAAAAATGCTAGTCGGATATAAATGATCTTTTCAGTCAAATATAGAGTAGATGAGAATGTGGATAAATTTAAAGCTTGACCTATTTTAAAAGAGTACGACCAAACATATGACATGGACTATCAAGAAGCTTTTTCTTCTGTTACCAACCTTATTATAATTCAAATTTTGCTCTCTTTGACAACAAATTTGAACTAACCTTTACATCATCCTAACATTAAAAATATTTTTCTTAATGGGGACTTTGAGTAAGTTTTCATGGAGATCTCATCTGGATTGAAAAATCAAAGAAATACCAATAAAGTATGCAGACTCCAAAAAGCTTTATATGACCTCAAACAAATCCTCTTGTTCCTCGTGTTGCAAATCATCCAAATTTGTTGAAAAATATGGGTACACTAAGTGTCAAGCTGGTCACAATCTTTATCAAGCACCCACCTAGAAGAAAAAGGAAATTTTGTCAGTGTATGTAGATGATATTATGTGTCAATATGACTTTGAGGAAGAGCTAATTACATTAAAATAGTTTCCGGTTTGATACTTAAGGTAAAATATTTGAGAAATCTAAAACATATATTCTCTATATGGAAGTGATATGATAAAAAACAATGTATTTTTATAATACTTGGACGTAAGCCTGCAGAAACTTTATTTGACCCGACAAAGGAAGTTGGGATCACCACTAACAACACGGCCGTTGATAAAGTTAGGTCTCAACACCTTTTGGGCAAACTCATCTACCTCCCTTTAACTTGTTTATTTATTGAGTTCCCGGATAATGTTGTAAGCCAATACACGATTTATCCTATTGAAAGTTATATGGAAGTTGTAAACAACATTTGAAGACATCACAATATGATGTTAGGAAAATGCTTGTCATTAAAAATGTCATCCAACAAGGAAATTAAAATTTTCATGTGTGCTGATTGGCTTGGAGATACATCAGGCTGAAGATTTTACTTTGAGTATTGTAGTTGTGTATCGGGAAATTTAGTTCTATGGAGAAGTAATACATAATTTATTACTAGTAAGTGAAAAATATTTAAAACTATTGTGACAACCAAGATAGTAATTTGTATTATAAAAAAAATTTGTTCACCATGAAATTACTAAACACATTAAAGTAAACCGACATTCATCTCAAAAAAATATTAAAAATGGACTAGCCCAACTAATTTAGATCCCAACAAGCTCTTTAATTGCAAATATCCTCACCAAGGCTTTTCGTATAATGGGTTTTAATAATCTAGTCAATGAAGTGGACATGATCAACACATACATCCCTATTTGAAGGAGAGTGCTGAAATAATCCTGAATCTATGGCCAGTACCTTTCCATCTACTGCCATTTATTGATCCCCGTGGATAATAACTTTTCATCTACAATAATTCAACAATTTGTGCTCAGTAGCTTTCCATCTATGCCGATTTAACAATATGTGAACATCTGCTATGATAAAAATGGTTGACACTGGATAGTTATGATAAAAATGCTGAAGCTTGTACTGCCATTCTCTGGACCTTTTTTAAATTTTCCCTTACCAATAGTTTCAGCCAATGTTGTTGAATTGTATCAAGTGACTAATAGCATTCTTATACATGTCAGGGTTGGCTAAGTGATGCTTGTTTACTAGCTCAATTTTGGGAGGAAGTAGTATAACCCTTGTCTATAGGTCAAATGATGTCATACTTATATGTAGAATAGCTACAACAACAACATCAAGCCTTTATCCCACTACGTGGGGTCGGCTACATGAATTCTTTTTCTCCATTGTGTCCTATTAAAAATCAAATTCTCATTTAAATCTAATAAAGAAAGGTCATTCCTAATATTTTCTAACCAAATCTTTTTAGGTCTACCCCTACCTTTCTTAACACAAGTCAAATCTAATACCTCTACTCTCCTAACCGGGTCATCGGAAGGCCGCCTTATTTTGTGACCAAACCATCTAAGGCGGCTCTCTCTAATCTTATCTTCCACTGGAGCTACTCCAACCTTTTGACGTATATGCTCATTTTGTATCCTATCTCTAAGGGTAAAGCCACTCATCCACCTGAGCATCCTCATCTCTGCCACACTTAACTTAGTATTATGCTTCTCTTTTAATGGCCAACATTCGGCACCATAAAGCATTGCAGGCCTCACTACCATCTTATAGAATTTTCCCTTAAATTGAGGGGTACATTTCTATCACATAACAAACCTGATGCATTTCGCCACTTCAACCATCCAACTTGAATTCTACTGATAATATCCCCATCTATTTCACCATCACTCTGAACAATAGATCCAAGATACCTAAAACGTGTACTCTTATTAATGACTTGATCGCCCAAAGTCACAATCCCCTCACTAGGTCTATTACTACTAAAATTACACTACATATATTCTGTTTTAGATCTACTCAAGCGAAAACCTTTAGACTCTAAGGTTGACCTCCATAATTCAAGTTTACCTTCAACTCCCTCTCTAGTCTTATCAACAAGAAGAATATCATCAGCAAAAAGCATACACCAAGGTACATCATCTTGCAAATGTCTAGTGAGAACATCCAAGACTAAAGCAAAAAGATATGGGCTTAAGGCTGATCCTTGATGTAACCCAACCGAAATAGGGAAATACTTGGTCAAACCACCTTGTGTTTGAACACAAGTAATAGCTCCTGCATACATATCTTTAATGATTTGAATATAAGCATTATTGACTCCTTTCTTTTCAAGAACTCTCCATAGCACTTCTCTTGGAACTTTATCATATGCTTTTTCTAAATCAATAAATATCATATGTAGATCATCCTTATTTTCTCTATATTTCTCCATCAAACCTCTTAATAAATGTATGATTTCCATAGTCGGCCTACCCGACATAAATCCAAATCGATTTTGAGAAACATTAGTATCACACCACAACCTAAAATTCTATAAGATGGTAGTGAGGCCTGCAATGCTTTATGGTGCCGAATGTTGGCCATTAAAAGAGAAGCATAATACTAAGTTAAGTGTGGCAGAGATGAGGATGCTCAGGTGGATGAGTGGATTTACCCTTAGAGATAGGATATGAAATGAGCATATACGTGAAAAGGTTGGAGTAGCTCCAGTAGAAGATAAGATTAGAGAGAGTCGCCTTAGATGGTTTGGTCACATAAAACGGCGGCCTTCCGATGACCCGGTTAGGAGAGTAGAGGTGAATTTGACTTTTAATAGGACACAATGGAGAAAAAGGATTCATGTAGCCGACCGCACGTAGTGGGATAAAGACTTGATGTTGTTGTTATATTATATTTTACCAATATGCTTAATGTTTCTATCTTTTTTTTTTCAATTGATCTTTTTTGCATGCTGAAGCCTCATGAATGCCATTCTAGACCTTGCATTTATTTATTTGTTATTATTATTATTTTTGTAGCCATGCGTGATTCTCAGGAGTGCAAGATATCAAAAGACAGAAAGTACGTCTTTTAAACAATGATAGATTGTAATTGCAAATTGTGGTCTGCTGGAAACTATTTGGGGTTGGTTTGAAATTTTATTAGCATTTACGGGCAGTAATTTTTATGTTGGCTCAAGCTAGCCTGCCTCTTCATAGTCAGCTGCAACTCTTATGCATAAACTCTTGGGCACAAATAAAATTCCTTATTTCTGTGTATGGTTTGTTCCTTGGTCTGAATAAAAGTTTATGCCTTTAGAATTAATTGTTCATCACGTTTAATATGGTTTGAGTGCTGGTGTTTAGTTCATATCCTATCATCCACCATTTCTTTCTCTAGTATAATGAATGATGCAATTGTAGCATAGTACACCCCATCTTTTTATTTGTTTACCCTTTTCTTTAATGATCTCTCTCTCTCTCCAACGATAAACCTCAACCAGTTTAGTGTTGATGAGGAAGATGGGCTGACGGAGGTAGCTAAATATCTTCCCACCTAACGTTTCACTATCAATCATCTCTTTCTCACTCTCTATCACTAAGTTTCAAACCGTAGGTTAGATGGTAGTTTAGGACCATGTACAGCCATTGACAATACCCCATGTCCTATCCATCAAATGTTGGACTGGGTGGGATGGGATTGGAGATCCTAGTGTTGGTGTTTGTAGCCAGTATCTCATCTTTGATAGTTGTCAAACATGGGATAGCGATATGAAGCTTAGCTTAATTTTTTGAAGGATGAAATTTATTTAAAAAATGATCTATTTTCATGTGAGGGACCCTTATGACATGATTTTATATGGAATGCCTAACGTCATAATCATATTTTAGTTTTTTGATGGCAAAGGTGCCACTTTTATAAGGTTAAATCATAATTGTTTTTTACCTGTTCCATCTAAAACTTGTTATAAATGCATCATGACTTGCCAATACCACCCCCACCCCCTCTAATTCATCCCTTATGTTTAGCTTTTATCATTTTGTAGTACATTCGGGACCAACTTGAAGAATTGGAAGCTTCCATAAAGCAGTCTTGGGTGGCTATTCAAACTGGTAAGTTTCTTGAGCAGGTCATTTGTGGATATCTTTTTAGCATTTAAGCAAATATTATAAATCTCTGATTTGGTGGTGACACATATCTCATGAGGTTAGCTAGTTAAGCTGTGTCTTGATTTGCATTATTAGTGTGCCTTGATATAAACTTAGTTTAGTTCATTTTGAGCTAGAATTATCTAATGAAGCCTTCTGAGAGAACCCATTCTTATGTGTAGAAAATGGATGTAGCCCGCTCTACTTAATCTGAGCTGCAACCAGACAGATTTTTTTTTTACCCATCAATCATGCTTGTATTATATTTTTTTTCACATTAAGCGTCTTTCTCTTTTGCGTATAGCCGGTTAAAATGTTTGGAATATCGTTGGCTCAATAGCACTACATGCACGGAAGGTGGAGATGCTACCTCAATTATCAAAAGGAATGCTGATGTAGGAGGCAATCCGGTTAGGTGGAAAGCCTAAAGGCCGATCAATTCTTTAAAAGTATACTGATATTTGAAACTAAGCTGTAAACTTAATGACAACATGAGAAAGCTTTATTAAATCGTCATTTAGAAAAATGCAAGGGATTTATTGGTGCATTTGTTCCATTAAAAACATTGCTTACTAATATAACTTAGAAAAACATTTGGTCTACTAGCAAAGAGGAGATGGGAAGGTGGATCCTTGAATTCAAATTATGCACAATTTGAGATCATTCCATTTTTAGAGCTCTCACAGTGAGAAGCGATTTAGGAGATCCAAGTTGTTACCGCATTGGAAGTTTTTATGACACTTGATGGCAAGGAGAAAAGTAAAATGAAAACAAGTCATGGGAGCAGAGAGAAATTATAATAACAGAAAAAAACTACCTTACTGAATCCATGGTATGATTGATTTAATCTATGTTCAATATCAAGTAAGGCTTGGTATCTCCAATTGAGGCAGGTTGATGTATCTTGGAAGTAAAATCAACGAAACAGATAGAATGTAGGAATACAAAAATGGGGGTTGATTTTTGATTACTTTTTCAACAATAATGAAAGATACAATTGATCTACTATTCGAGCGGTGGATCGCCTCTCTCACAAACCTTAGCCGCCGCTAGTAAATTGACACCAAATCTTAGAAAATAAACTCAGCACACATCTCCTCATAACCCCCAACGCATCCACCTTCTTTGCTGTCATGTTTCCAAAACCTTACTCTGATATCAATTTGATGCATATTGGAAGTTAAAACAACAAAGTATATAGAAGAAAAACACAAGAATACAAATATGGGGGCTGATTTTTGATTATTTCAACTGTAACGAAAGATACAATTGATCTACTATTCGATCGGCTCTCCCAGAAACCCTAGCTTCCGCTAGGAAACTCATATTAAATCCTAGAAAATAAACTCAGCACACATCTCCTCATAACTCTAGACAAAACTACCACTTAAATAGCACTTATACACATTAAACACAATTGGAATCTTCCTAAACATCATAAGCACAATTAGGAAACCTTTATAAATAATTAAAATCTTTTAGGCAGCATAAACATAATTAGAAAACCTTCCTAAATAATTAAAACTTTCCTAAACAACATAAACACAATTAGGAAATCTTTCTAAATGGCTCCCCCTTGATTTATCTTCCTTACATAATGAATAATAGCTCCCTTGGGCCCCACAAGGGGAGCCGAAATCTCCCTCTCCGTTGCCCCTAGTTCCGCTTAGCCAAAGGGATGGTTCGGCTAGGGCTAGCCTGGGCTGGTTCGGGCTGGCCATGTGACCCCCCCTTGGCGTATCAGAGGCATATCATCATTTTTTAAAAGTTTCAAAATATATTAAGATTTTTGATATAAGGTGAAGCCTTTATATAGCAAGGGTATCCATTTTAGATTCAATGGATTCTCTAGCTATATCTTTACTGTCCATCTGGTTGAATGCACAATAAATTTTGACCGTATTAAAAAAAAAAGCTTCGTAGTTTCTAAAAGAATTATTATAATTAATACATGACTAAATCATAAAGATGGTTGTAAAAAAAAAAAAAAGATGGATGAACTAAATTTCATTTGTCACTTGAGCAGGGTTAATTTCTTGCAATTCATTTACTGTGAACTCTAAGCTCCACTTTAGTTATTTTTAGGATTGAGAAGCTGGACTATTTATCACATACGGACATCAATGATAAAAGAAAAGGAGAATGTTAATATGTATCTACTTATTGATTGGAGAAGGCGGCATAAAAATTGAGGGTATTGTTGCAACTCATAAAAAAATCAACCTAATTGCAAATTTTCTTGTATGTTTTCTTTCACGGCAAGTTATACTTTTTAATATTGTATTTAGTGAGACATGCATATCATGAAGTAATATTATGATTAAGGTGTAATCATACTAATTTCTATGGGTGTGAAATTCAAATGTTGTTGAACTTTCTAATTTTGGACATCTAAGAAATGTTCTAATAAGTTCTTAGCTAAGACTCGCATCTATACTTCTAAATATTTTCCTGCACTGCCTTTAAAGGTTAAGTGAAGCACTGTATCAAAGAGACTCAATTGATATTTATCCAAAAATATATATACAGTGCTTCACTTTATTTTTTTTGGTTTTTTTTTCTTCAAAAAAAGAAAAAAAGAAAAAAGTGAAGCACTGTATATATATTTTTGGATAAATATCAGTTGAGTCTCTTTGATTTGGACCACACTTAAGATGGGTTCACTATTTTAAGAACTCTTCATTTTGTTTTCCAAGTTATTTGAAATTTCACTATTGTCCCTCAGCTTAGTTTTCAATCCTCAACGGGGTTCATTTTCATTGATGATGTTACATAATCCATTAGTTTTGTTGATGCGACCTTTTAACTTCAATTTGAATGAAATTAATTTCCTATAATCAAGATACTGCCATCCTCAATATTTTTCTCTTGTTCTAGGATTATTTATTTTTCACTAAGGTTGAGCGAGGCTCACTCTGATAATGTCAGAGAATAGGAAGAAGAAATAGGAGAGGTGTAGGCAACCGAAAAGGTCCTACAATTCTTGTGATCAAATTTTTTTTTTTTGAGGTTTGATCATTTTCAAACTACATCTAGCCACACACTTCTTCAAGGTTGGAGAAGAAGAGGAAGATAAATAGGAGAGGTGGAAGCGGAGGTCATTTTTCCAGTATCTTTTGATCGCAGGTGATTTTCTATAACAAAAGAAGGGAAAAGTGAAAGGGAGTATTTGTGTCGTTTTATGATCAATTGATAATTTTTTTTATGGAAGGATTTACGCCTAAATGTTTGGGATCAGAACGGAGCATTTTTAAAATCACGGAGTTCAAACCCAATGGACTTTCATGATATTTATCCTAATTTTCCTTTCCTTTGCTTGTGATAGTTGGGATGGAGGATTGTATAACAGAATTCCTTCTTTATATGCCTTCCGGGCACGTTTTGAGCTTCTTATTTTGAATGTTTCTACATTCTTTGCAAAATAACAAAGCCACTTCCTGATTTTTTTGAAGCCATATCTCTGAAATGAAACCTTCATGGTGTTACTAGTTATCGTTTAGTTGTATCAACTACCATTTTTTTCTTGAAAATCTCCATTGTGGTATCTTTTCCATTACTTGTTATACTATCGAACTAAGTAGTCTAGATAGTTAATTATTTCCTAAACAAAGTAGTTGTAAAACCCGAAATTCGTCATTTGAGTGCGTCGCATGCATTTCGATGCGCCGCGACGAACTTAAGTGAAATTTCATTGTCTTCGGAATTCGACGAAATAAATTTTATTAAATTCGTCACAAAATTTCGATCGAAATGATATTTCAACTTCTCTTGGTCAACGCAATTAAAAAAAAAACGTATTGCCTATTCTTCCGTATCTCACATGGGTTTCATAATTATAGGAATTGGTTTTTATCCTGATTTCGTTCTCCCGTTATCGGTTTACAAGGTACAAGTTCTATTATCTAATTATTTTTATAGATACTAATTCTTTTTTTAGATTCAATACTAAATTTCATTAATTGGAAAGAAAGAACTTGTATCAAATTCCGTACGGATTTGAAATGTTAAATATATGTTTTGGAAAAAGTTTAGAGGTGCTTTTAAATTCATATGGAAGTCTTTTAGAATTATTATACATGAAATATGATGATTGAACTGTTCTGATCGTCCGATTCCGTTCCCGCCTCGTCTATACGAGTTAACCGGGCCGGATCGTGACAGTAGTAGACGGATAACTGCCAGATATGGGACTGGATGGTGATATGCTTTTACCTCCAATAGGAGGTGAGGGGTTTTAATCGAAAAAGAGGTTCTAGAATATTATGCCATGTTTTCTTGTTGCGGCAATTTCATGCATAAAACTCAAATGTTAGCTATTTAAAAAGCAAGCATCCCCTAACTCCATTTATCAAAATTCCACCCAAATATCAAAATTTATAGCTAAACCCCAGCTTATATATATATATATATATTTGCTTTTGTACAATTTTCAATAGTTCTACAGTTCATAAATATGTATGATTCGAGTGATCTACACATAGCTCTTCCTTTATAGTTTTGTGCTTTAACAGTTATGGGATTTCTTCCCCTCTGACAGCGGATCATCATATTTATGGAAGATCAGAGGAAGAATTAACGTCCTCTAGGGAATCAGTTGATGAACTGTTTACTATATTTGATGACATTAGAACAAGTGCTATTGGTGCAAGTAATGTGATCCTTGATTTTATTGGTGAGTTGACTTTTTTGTTTATGTTTTTAACCTTGCATTAGCAGTCTAATTGTCTATTTCTTGTATAAAGATGAATCTTATTAGGGTAAATGTGAACTTCATTTATTTTTCCGTAAATTGGGTATGAATAAATCATATTGTATTTAACAAAAACTTGTTTTCTTTCTCAAAATAGCTTTTTTTATTGTGCTGGATCTCACCAGTAGTTCACTCGTTATGATGAATGGTTAATTTTATCAACTTCGTTAGCTTCAAGTTTTCTCAAGTACTATTATAAAAGAGTTGAAAAAGCATCTCGGAGAGATATATTTATTACTCTACTATTATAAGAAACATTGTAGTAATATATATAGCCATGCACCGACGGTAAGCAAAGAAATAGTCCCAAAAACTAACTGCCTCATAAATGATTGCTATTCACCTCATAAACAAATATATTCAGGTTATATTATACCTAATTCAGACAATTATAGGAATGAAAAGAAAATTATAGCAGAATATAAAAACGTCTATTGAGGAAACACCATTTATGGTGATTCAAAGACAACTAAAAGCACTCTTTTCTTTCCCTTATCATTGATGATGCCTTACACCATAGTGCAGATATGCTCGTGTACTACCTCATTTAATCAATAAATATTTATGTTCCTTCTTTCATGCTAATAACATGCATTTTATCACCCTATTGTACTTCAATTTGTTGTTTGTTTGATGATTAATTTTGTTTGGTCTAATATAGTTGATTGCTAGCAATATCGAGCGAGGTTTCTCTCGTGTGTGGCCTGAGCCAATCTTGCACCTACTCCCTTGCTATCCTATCTATAACCAACACTGCCTTCATTGTTGCACTGCACCTAATTGGCTTGATTGATATAGCCTTCATCACTATCCTTTGACTCAGCAATGTCTGGAGCTAATTCCTCCCAAAACTTGACCAAATGGAGGACTTTATGGTGCAACAAGTAAGATGAGACCTCCAAATATGTAACCTTCCTATCGCTTAAATAGGAAGAATTACTTGAAGTTTTCTCAATTTGTGAAGATCTAATTGAAAGGGGAAGGAAAGATGAATCACCTCCTTGGGGTAGGACTAAAAGAAGAATTTAATTTTTGGGCATGGGATGAAGCAAACTCTATGATTATGTTATGGATGTGAAATTTCATGACTCCAAAAGTTAGTGATGCTTTTATGTTCCTATCTACTGCAAAGGACATATGGGACGCCGTTAGACAAACCTTCTCAAAAGCTCAATATACTGGTAAAGTCTTCGAAATTAAGGTCAATGTGAGAAGCACAAAACAAAGAAGCAAGACTGTGATTGAATATGCCATTCTCTCCTTTAAGGCTTGTGGCAAAAACTTGATCACTACAGATGTATAGAGACCAAGTGTCTAGAAGATCTGAAAAGTTTTATTGAGAAAGATAAAGTGTATGACTTTCTTGTATGATTAAATGCAGAGTTTGATCATATTAGAGTTCAGATCCTTGGCTAAGAGGAGACACCTTCACGAAGTGAGACCTTTTCTCTCATTCGTGTGGAGGAAAGTCGATGATGGGTAATGCTTGAACTAAAGGCTGTTGAAGGTTCATTAGTGGTGACAAAAAAAAAGGTTCATTAATGGTGACAACCAAAGAGGCACTATGGAAGGAAATATGTAAGGATTTCTCAAAACCTAAAAATAATAAAGACTCCCTTTGGTGCAGTTATTGCAAGAAATACAGACATAAAGGAGACCTGCTAGAAGTTATATGAAAAGCCTCCAAGTAAGGAGTGAAATAACAAAAGTGGACAAAATAAAGGGACATCATAAGCTAACACTACAATAAGCTAGCCCACCCAGAAGTACAGTCCAACTTCAGAGAGCTCAACAAAGAAGACAACTCTTGGTATCCTTCAAAAAATTACTTGCATCTTTTTCTCTTGCACTTTTAGATAAATTTCCTATATCCATTAGATTAAGTGTCTCTAGAAAGCATTTGAAAGGCTTATGGATCATTGACTTGGGAGTTACAAATCACATGACACACTCCATTAGACCCCCCAAATCCAATGTATATGTATCTTCTAAATGGAGTTAAATATAATGCATAAGGGTTTTCTTGTTATTTAAAATTGATTAAGGGCCTCTTAAATTCAATGCTAATATGCTCTCTAAATGAGTCAAACATAAAGCATAAAAGGTCCTTTAATTAATTGCTTAGTATTTACTTAATGAATTTATTTAATTAAGCCAAGTTTAATTATATTGATTATGAAGTCTTATTTTAGTCTGAGATGATTAAAATTGGATTATAGTTCATTGATTTTTATTTACTTTATTTAAAATTTTAATGATTTATTTGAGTTTTTAATTAATTTTTAATTAATAAGTTAGGATTATTTATGTTTAATTATTTGGTTCTATTTTAAAATTTTATTTTATTTTCATCTAATTATTAATTATTTTTATTTATTTATTTATTTTTAATTTACTTATTTTATTATTTATTTATTTATTTAATTAATACTCTTTATTTTTTAAAGCTTGATGAATTCACCTTATTTATATTTGATTATCTTTTCTTTATTATTAATATACATTATGATTTATGAAAAATCAAAGGAAAAAAATTCTAAATGTGAATGATAAATTTGTTCTACACATCTCTAATCTTGTCACCAGCGAGTAAAATCCCATTCACCAGTGGGTTATCGGGTCTGGAAAATTAAATGCATGATTACTATAAGGACCTAAGGTTTGGGGATACTATGAACATGCAAGGCGTTGAAAACCTATGGGGCTCTAAGTTTTAGAATTTATCTCACTGGAGCAAGTTAACGGTGCAACCGGCTATAACACCTCCATTTGAAAGAAATGGAGGCCATTGAATGCTTCATAGCTTTGTTACCAAAATCATCTCCAATGTACCTCTCATTTTCCCTTGCACGTAAACAAGTGCTCAAGACATGCAGCTCTAGATGCCGCACGCAGGAACAGCGATTATGGGCCGCTTGGTCAGGCATGATGCGCACGAAGAAAACTCCCTTCTCGCATTATCCTCACGTATGTAAGAAGAAGACATCTCTTGCTTATATTATTCTCTTTGACTTTGATTGGGTTTTAAAATTAAAAATTGGTAATGCAATGGTGAATTATAAAATATGACATGCTATAGAAAACATTAGAAACATATACAACAGCCTCCCATCCTAATACCTTGCTTAAAAGGAAATATACACAAGCCAGACCAACCCTAAGTTTTGCTTAGATATTACCATGCAAAATAAATTGGATCGACATGAAGAAAGGAAAGACACAATATCAACCATAATAATATAATATTGTTGTCATGACATTGAAAGAGCTTACTTACGAGTATTTCTCTCACTTCCCTAAACTCTTATTAAAACTAATTTGAATTATTTTTTATTAAGATATGGTAAAATTTTACTATGTCATAAAAAATTCATGAGTATTAAAATCAAAATTGTCAAAGCATAAAGAGCCAAAAATGTTGTAGCTATTGTGAGAATTATATTTGACTTTGGGAAAGAGACACATATATGTTTGAGTCATCAAGTTACATGAAACTCACCAGAGTTCTCTGGCATAAACTTAGACTTCGGAAATCAATCTACCTCTGGAAAATAATTAAGTATAAGAGTAATCAGAAAAAAAAGGTACGGTTATAATTCCAAGAGAGATGATTGAAATACATATTTTCTACAGAAGCATGATGAGAGTGTGGAAAAATAAATGATGACAGCCGCATAAAGCAAATGATCCTCTACAGACCATAAAGGCAGAGGATCATTTGCTTTATCAAATGATCCTCTATAGAGTCAACCTTTCTGGTCTGCAGAGGATCGTTTGCTTTATGCGGCTGTCATCATTTACTTTTAAACAATCATCATTCTTATGTAGGAAATATATTTTTTAATCATCTTTCTTGGATACATAATCACGCCGTATTTTTTTTTCTGATTGCTCTTATTCTTGATTATTTTCCAAATATAGCTTGGTTTCCGAAAGGCTGAGTCTTTGCTAGAGAACTCTGGTTAGTTTCATGTAACTTGATGACTCAAACATATATGCTTCTCTTTCCCAAAGTCAGATATGATCCTCGCAATAGCTACTACATTTTTGGCTCCTTTTGATTTGACAATTTCGATTTTAATGCTCCTGAAATTTTTATGACATTGTAAAATTTTACCATATCTTAATAAAAATACTCCAAATTTGTTTCAATAAGAGTTTAGGGAAGTGAGAGAAATACTCGTAAGCTCTTTTAATGCCATGGCAACAATATTATGGCTGATATAGTGTCTTTGCTTTTTTCATGTCGATCCAATTTACTTTTTATGGTAATTTCTAGACAAAACTTAGGGTTAGTATGGCTTATGTACATTTTCCTTTAAGCTGAGTATTGGGATGGGAGGTTGTTGTATTTGTTTTTAATGTTTTATACAACATGTCGTATTTTATAACTTTATTTTACTTTTTCTGTGAGATGGAGGCGGGGTCTGACCCCTCCTTTTGGCTTTTAAGTCTCGCCCTGGCGGGTCGATCCAGGCGGAAGACATTGTCAGGTGGGGAGTTTGGCTAGGGTGATACATCCGTTAAAAGATAACGAAGGTGTTCTAAGATGAGCTCAACGAGAATAAAAATCTCGTGTGGAACAAATGGGTAAAACCTTGTTTGATTCTGATTTTCAGTGCGAATACGAACTGTGAAAGTGTAGCCTATCGATCCTTTAGTCATTCGAAATTTGAAGCTAGAGGTGTCAGAACTACCCATGCAAAAAAAATTGTAAGCTTTTTGGCCATTTTTGAACTACCAGGGCATTCATAATGCAATAAGCCCTGCCGTCTATTAGAGGGAAGCTGGGTGGCCTTATCGGGAAATGCGCTAGTAGTGTCAATTGACACCATGCTTCGTTGCTTCTCCGATGCATGCCTAGAAGATGAAGTGTTCTCAAACACAAATGAGCCTCGAAGCACACACATGAGTCGTGCCTATGCTGTGAAAAATTTGAAGAACTATTTGCACGTGGGAATCTTCGTGCCCCATTGGCTATGCCGTAAGAAAAATTCGTCGCCAGCGCAGACTATAAATCAAAGTTGGAAAAGCGAGGAAAAATAAGTTCATTGGCGCACATGATAGATTGGCTGCTGACAGCATGAAGGAAAATAAATAGCATGGATTTAAAAATTTCGGGTGCTAAAGTGCTAAAAAATGTAAGCCTCGGGGAGTACGAGAGATCGGGCGCCAGTGATACAAGGAAAAATCCATAGCTCGTATGTCGAAAATTTTGGGTGCTAACGCACCCAAAAAAATAGGCTATAGCTTGTTGGAGGTGCCTTGATTGGCAACTGTAGGGTCAGAAGTCGCTCAAGTCTGGCAACTGGAAGTTTGTCTGGATGGGGGTCGCAAGAGAGAGGCGTCCGACCTCTGTGCTGCACACAAATGAAGAGAAGAGCGAGCTGGAGGTAGATCTGTGTGCATCAGGAAGTCGGATTTGACAAGATGGGCGGCGAGATCGGCGAAGACCATGGTCGATCAGAGCTTGGTAGGTGGTCGGCTTACGATCCATTCGGATGAGGTCGAGGGATGGAGCCTTTGGATGCTATTATCAGGATGAGAGGTGTGATAGTCTTGAGGGAGAATGGAGGCGTGAGAGTTGTGGCTGAACGATTTGTCTGTAAGAGGGAGCCCGAGCGGTTCTTGCGTGAAGATGTGGGATCGACTAGCCAGCCTAGTGTTTGCATGAGGAAGAGCTCCAAACCTCGGAGGGAAGGGATTGAGCGGGCTTGAGGCATGAGTATGTCTTACGTGAGCGCTTCGATCGCTAGAGTCGTTAGTGGGAGGGATTTTGTGTGTCTCGAGCTGTTGGAGGTTTGTGTGAAAGAGAGGAACTTTTATTAGGTCCGGTGTAAGGACTTCGAGGAACGTAATCCCGCCAAAAAACTCGGTACAACTTTTGTATAACTCGGTATAGCTCGGTATAACTCGGTATTGGGTCTTCGCGTGATGGTATTCCTCGTTATTGTTTGGTATTGCTCGGTATTTCTCGTTTTTTGGCGCGATTTGGCCTCCGACCGGACGTTCCTCTACGTCCGGTCGGAGGACGTAATAATTGTTCGAAAGAGAGGGCCCAAATCGGAGAGTCTTCGTGCCTCTTTCTTGGATGAATCAAAAGCACGTAGAGACAATAAACCAGAAGAGGAAGCCTACTCATCTTGTATGCCAGATTCGCCAATATGGAAGGATTTGTTGCACTCAATGTCTGCCATGGAATTTTTTCGAGGAGCAACATGCAGACAAAGTGAAATTCAAGAGGGTATGGGCCTTTAAATTCAAACTGATGATTTATAACAACCAATTAAACGCAGATTTGAGGATTGAATTGAAATTGGGTCTGAATTGAACCTGATTTGGATCAATTTGAGTTGATTCGAGTTTGATTTGATTCGATCGAGTCAATTTAGTGAAACATACTCGAATTGACTTGATTTGATTTAAATTTGGTTCAATTGAGCTCAATTGAATTCAATTTGAATAGGATGTTATTTATACTTATTTAATATTTATCAGTATTTATTAATTGTATATTTTATATTTTAATTTTAAATAAAATAAATAAAAACCTCTTCTTTTTACTATATATTTAAAATGATAATAATAATACTAATTATTATAATAATGATGATAATAATAATAATCTTTATTATATATTCAAAATAATAATTATAATGATAATAATAATAATCCTTTTATTACATATTAAAAGAAATAATGATAATAACCTTTAATTCTCTCTCTTGAACACGCATCAGATGACACCCAATTCGAGCTCGAATGAGCTCATTTGTTGCGTCTCAACTAGTCAGACGCACTCACGTAGTCTGTTTCGCGTAACAAAGGCCTGATCAAAATATTTTACACATAGAGCAAACATGTGCGATAAAGGCTTAAATGCACGTAAAATACCCATCAACTCGGTGTTGCCCCGATCACATTTGTTTAAAATACGATAAATGAACAATATGTGATCAAAAGGAATAAATTCCAAAGCTGACGACAAATTGATGTAAAATGTCCAAGTTGACCCTTCATTAGAGACGGCAGCACGGGCAAGTATATCGATCTACGAAATATTCAATGCAGCTATGTGAGTGATCAACATAAAAAAGGAGGTCAACAATTTTATTTATTATCTTGCAAATGGTATCCATGTAGTATTCTTCCATTTTCTTCCTCCTAGAGGGTTCTTGTTGCTTCCTGACATTACAAATAAGGAAAAATTCATTTTGTGATTCAACCATAAAAGTAGATTTGCTTTCATGTCATCTTTTCTGTGCTTGTCTGAGGATTCTAGAAGGATATTTATTACTCCACCTCTCCTTTGGCTATTCCAATCATTTAACATTGGGTTGAGCACTACATCCAATCAATGAAGGGTAGATAGTTCATATTTGTATCTCACTAGGTATTAAGAAGGGCATGCTTATTTATGTGGCATTTTTTTATTACTCTATAGGGTTTATTTTTACTTCCAAATTTGCTGCAATTAAGTCTTAAACCTTATTGACTTAGTGGTTGACTCAATCACTTGGAGAGTCAATAGCTCCAAGAGTCTAATATGTGGAAGTGTTATCCACTTAAAACTTTGAGATGGAAGCTATTTCAGTTAGATCTTCTTGCCAATCCTAACATCTTACATTTAGCTTAGAAGGACGTGTTGGACAACAATTTGAACCATACAACATAGGAGTCTTTCTTTCTTTCTGATAAAAATCTATCCTTCAAGTTTCCTTGTTATTCCCTTAATATAATTGCGGAGCTTTGATTCTACTAATTGTATCATTATTTATGGCCCTACTCTTTTGTATTGAAGATATATAAACCTTTGACTACTAGATGCTTATTGTAGCACATCATTGTTGTTATTTCATCCTATAAAGGTTGCCATCCTTTATTCTGACCTTGCCCCACTTATGTCAAGTCGTCACCTTAAAATGTTTCCTCCATTTATATAACTTTTGATTTGCTTTAAATTCTATCTTAAGTTTTTTAGAAGTCAGCAACATATAACATATATTAATGACTTCATTTTTGTAATATATCCTGGAAGCACATCCAATATCTCCATTTGAAAAGATATATGTAGGTCTTGTTGTTTTTCCACGTATATATACTTTTAAATTTCTGATAGAACTTATTTTTTATCGGTTCTTTTGTTTTACAGGAGCAAGGGCCATATTCTGGGATATGAGAGAGACATTCATTTATTTATTGTACAGAGGTGGTGTCAAAAGATTTCGTTTGGACACGTTTCTTCCTGAACTAGATGGGGTGAGTCAAACTTTCTAATAAATCAATAATCATTTGAATGTATAATTTCAAATTTGTTAATTTGCATTATTGCGGCAGTAATAGGAACTTTTTGGTGATTTGTATTGTAGATACTTGATCGCATATGTGATTTAATTATTGATGAACTTCGAGATCATGTTGTCTTAAGCATTTGCAGAGCATCAATGGTATCCTTTTTAGATATTGTCTTTGGTTTGTTTAGCTTTAATTTAATTTAAACCTCTATAATAATGTGTATTTCATATGACAGGCTGGTTATATTTGGGTGATGCTGGATGGAGGTCCTTCTCGTGCTTTCTCTCACACAGATGTAGAAATTTTACATGAAGATCTAAATATGCTAAAGGTTTGGAACGTGCTATAATAGATGTTTGCTGCACCTCTGTTTAAATCTTCATTCGTACCATAGAGATATGAATATGAATGCATTTCATGCTTAAAAATTTGGGTTTCTTGTATATATTGATATACAGTTTATGTTCAAACTTATTTTATTCCTTTAGTTCTTCATTTGCAATGCTTGTTTTATTTAGGGGCTATTTGATTTGTTGAAAAAGGAATGAAAAATATTTCAAATGCTAGGTATTTGAAAAGTTAGTAGTTTGATTTGATGAAAAAAAATATAGAGTAAAGTTTTGGTAAATGCTTTTTCATTATGTAGTTCATTTTTTATGTATTCTAAACTTGCTTGTTTTTGGCCGAATTCTTTTTTCACCACAAGCTTATTTCACTGTCGTTGCCAAACGTCGCCGGCCTCTATCGCTAGCCTTTGTCGCCACTCACTGGCCACAATCATTGTTGGGCTTTATTATATTTATTTTACTTATAGTAAAAAAATATATTTATTTTATGCTCATTCAAACAACACCAAATATTTTAAATATTTTGTATTTCATTTACGCTATATTTCATTTGACTATGCATTACTTTTTTAGCAAACCAACAAGCCCCTTATTGATTTGCTTGCAGGCATTCTGTAATATTATTTGCCTGCCATGTATCATACTAGTGAGAGTGCATATTGAAGTTGCAAGGATCTTTTTATTTTGTTTAGTGGATAAAATTAACTGTCTTGATGGGAAGGTGCTAGGAGCTTGCTGTTGGCATGCCATGCCTGGATCTTTTTATTTTATTAGTAGATTTAATGAAGGCGGGCTCCATATAATACTTTTCTCCCGAGTCAGGCCCGGTTCAACCCGAAACCGACCCGACGACCCGTTTTAACACCCCTAGAGCGGAGCTTAGGAATGGATTCCACATCACTCAACCAATTGTGATGGTTAGAACATTGAAAGCTTGTCCAACTATCATCATAAAACTTAAATGTCTTTCTTATTTAACTTCCTACATATAAGCATCCATCAAATATACAATCATTCTTAGTGTTATATATATGCATTATCACAAATCCCTAAGGATGCAGAATCCCTTCCCAGCTATACCGATACTCTGGATAAAGTTGTTATATCCCTTTAAACACGTGTTGTTGCTACTTTTTATCCTCTCATCCATTGTTGCATTATAACATCGGATATGAGATCTTCCTCTTAGGTTCTGATTGTGATTGATCACTCTTTACAAATTATTTAGCCTGGATGACCTGTGTTCAAATATCCTCCTATATTTCTGTTTGCGGTAGTCGCTAATTGGTAATTTATCTTGTTATTCGCATTTGCCTTTTTGGTTATTTGACTACTTTCTCATGCGATGTTGTCGGTTTCCTCCTATGTCAACTTTCTATTGTTACACATCTTTCTAGATTATGAATTCATTACTATTGCAACGGGGAATCAACAATTGTTGTTTTGTACTTGAGCTGATGATTTGGAGATCAAATCATAAATGATATGCAATATGGGCATCATATTATGACAAAATTAGATGATTGTGTTTGTTGATGGTTTAACAGTTTAATTATCTTGATTGAAATTGTAGTGGTGATGATTTTCATATCACATTGTTAAGATCAAAAGCGTCTCTCGTAGACTCCATAGGGCCCAATCAGATTATGAATCAAATGTCGTATGAGGGAGATCATTTCACTGAAAGTTGGATCGTTGGATTAAAATACAGATTACAACATAATAATGATGAGCTTTGAATTCGTTTTGGATAAATTTGCATTTGAATTTAAATTCTAGTTTAAGATAGATTCTATTATAAATATCTTTGAATTTGATGTTATTTAGTTTGTTATTTGAAGAGGAAGTTGCTTATATTGTGGAGTTTATTCAGGAATTAATTTCCTTCTATTGTGGAGTCAATTTAGGATGAATAAAATCTATTTTAAATTTATTTATTATTGTAATTTTTCCGATAAATAGGCTTGGATTTCCGCAGTTAAATTCAATAAAAATTGTTTGAAATAATTCTCCACTTCATCTCTATTTTTACTAGTTGAAGGTCTCCAGGTTCAGGTTCGCTAGCAAGCAATGTTCAGGTACTGTTGCTACACTACTCCTTGAGACTTTGCTGGAAAGGAGAAAGATATACTAAAAAACATATAGAAAAATTTTTGTACACATCAAGAAAGAGACTAAAATAGAAAGAGGGAGTCATCTACAATTTGAAACAACACTTAAAGTACCTTTAATTGATTGATAGATCAATTGAGAACTTCAGTGCATGGTTCACCTTAATGTGGCTTCCTTGAGGCGCCGCACTGAGGTGCCCGTTAAACGTCCCAAGCTTACAATTTTCAGGCCTGAATAAGGCTTTTTTGCCAATTATATGATTTAAAAATGGATCATGAGAACGATCATATATGTCGAATGATTATTCATGCATTATTTCATGTGGCATTTTTCACACATTATTATTGTCGTTACTATATGGATAAGCATACTTGTCACCCCTTTTTTAGTTTGAATTTAGCCTTATTTATTTATTTGGAACTGGCAACTTCCATAATTTCCTGTAATTAAAATATTAGAAACTTTTCCAGACATCATTAGATTATGCTTTCAATGTTTTAAATGATTTTGTAGCTTTCTATAAAATTCATGAATGAGTAAACACTATAAATTTGATGCTTGACCATGGGATTATTGGCTATTGGGGATTTGATAATTACTCTATTAATTAAGTTGGATAATCTATGATTTTGAATTAATTGTTGCAATCATCGTGCAGGGATCAAGTATTAAATCTTTCTACTAGTTTTCTTTATTGTCATGAAAATATGCTCCCAGCCACGGAATCCTGAACATGATTGAACATTGACTGAATGCTCTCTGGTTTCAGAGGCGGGAATGAACGTTTTATGATGCCAAAAAGTTATAACACAACTTTCCCTCATATGTTTTCATTTTTATTTTTCTTTTTGGTTTATTTACTTCATACCATTCTTTTAATTCGTTTGAATTCACCTTTATTGATCAATGATTTAGTTGTCCTCTCCAAATCTGTATGTTTTTGCCCGAAATATGCGGATTCTGAAAATAATTGTCTTTGCTTCTAGGTTTTTTGTTCCCCTTAACATGATGAAAGAAAAAAATAATTGTACTGCAGGATCTTTTTGAAGCAAATGGTCAAGGTATCCATTATGATGTCATTAAGGAAGAAGCAAAACAAACTGAAGAGATCTTAGAATTGTACAGCATGAAGGTCTGCTAGCCCTTGGTTTGGCTTTACTTGAACCTGGACTTCTGAGAAAATTAAACGTTTGCTTCTGCTTTACAGGCTGAAGCAATTATTGATAAGTTGATTAATTCAAGTAAACAAACTTATCATCAACATGATCACAAGAAACCTGGAAACAGAGGCGCAAAAGATGCTGATACTTTCCTGAGGGTGCTGTGTCATATGAAGGACGAAAATGCTTCTGAATTTTTAAGAGTTCGATATCAGCTTCCCAAGTCTTCAGGTGAGTCTCGATAACAATTGCTATTTGTCATGATCCTTGATTGGGCTTTATTTTATCAGTCTGCTAATATGCTACCTTATGAGATGATATTTTGCTAATTGATCCTTTATATATTATATTTCCTTAAAGCAAATAATTTTCTTCCTTTCAAATCGAAATTTAAAGGAAAGGTTGAACCTTCCATAATCAAAATACTATTTCTAATTGACTACGCACCCAAGATTAAGTTCAGCTAAAGAAAGTAGCATATAATTTGGAATATGTTGCATTAAATGGCCAAACTGGAAACAGTATCTAAGCATAGATAGTGATCCCAATTTGCAACCAACAATGCAAAGAGGCACCAAGGAGATGGTCCTGGAATGATATTAACAGTTTATACAATAGATCCAATGACCCAGAGATTCCACAATGATAAAGTGCAATAGATCAATTAAACAAGTATAACGGAGCCTCCATCATATCTGAATTCAGTTCTAGCAGACTATTTGGGTGGAGGTCTAAAGGATGATCCAAGGTCTCTTCTTGTGTTTATCTCACACAGTAAAAAATAAAAGCAATAACTAAAGAAAAAATATAGTAAAAATTAGTGAGAAAGAATGTAATTATGGGCTAATTTTGTTGATATCGGTACAACTAACCAATATATAAGTTAAGCTACTACTGCACAAACCCTAGGTGCCGCTAAGAACAACTCCAAAGAAAATTACTCCAAAACACAAAATCACATAATGAAAATAAAACAACCTAATTAATCATAAATAAACCTTCGTAATTCCATCTCAAATTTGAATTCAAATCGGACCTCTTTTCTTAGATAAACCTTCTTACTTTCCTCTCAAATCTGAATTCAAATCAGGTCTGTTTCCCTAAATAAAACTTCCTAATTCGCTCTCAATTTTGATTTTCCATGATAAGTAATTAAAAGTAAAATTAATCCCCTTTGAGCCCCCCTCTCTCCTTACCTGTCTCCCACACTTATGGGGCTCATAGGGCTCTTATGCCCGCCAACTAGACAGGGCCGCCCTTGTTAGGGCCGGGTTGATTGGTTAAACTGGCTTAGCCGGTCCATCAGTTTACTAATTCGTTCAGGTTTCATTCTAATGAATCCAATTTTATCAGTCAATTCAATAGACATGAGAGTTCACAAATTAATGGGAAGAGGCGTTCAACAAGCTGTGTGGATCTGTTATAGTGTTTGTAGAGAGCTGTGAGCTCTCATGGTGATATAGGAGAGGGAGTGAAAACAACATCATATTTCTTGTTTTATTATGCTTTATCAATGGCAATGCGGATCAATTGGATTTGATCTGGAATATGGTATGGACAGCAAATATGAAACTTCTCTTAATTTTGGGATATAAATGCAGAGTTTTTAGAACAGTGTGATCTAAGGTGAAGTGCCACTTACAACTCATGGACCAATATCTAATTTACCATTTTTATTATTTATAGAGAGATTAGAACCTCATTAATTCTCCGTTAATAAGGGCCTTATATTCGTTAATTCAGTTCTCATAGTGAAGTCTACGCCACACTAAGCATATTTTGGGTTGCAATTTATTATACTTAGTAGTTACATATGGAACCCATCTGAAACACTAAGCAGGCTGACATATATTGCTACCTATTGTTCCTCTTTAGTGCAGAAAATGTTACACGATTTGCAATGTTTCTTGATGCAGTATTTTCAAGTAACTGTAGCAATTTAGAAATAAAAAAATGTCTTCTTGCACAATTTTCTTTGTTTTTTAAAACAAATTAAAAATACCAAAAATAACTTTGAGGTCTTTTTACATTTTCCTGAACAATTTTTTTTATTAATCCCCAACTCTCACCACTTATGATCTTATTGGATGTAAGAACAAAACTAAAATAAAAATAAAATAAACTTATAAAAAATAATTTCTTTTTTTTTTATCCAAGATGTTTGACTGACTCATAATCTTAATTAATGGCAGACTACGAGGAAACTTATGGACGTGAGAAGGAACAAACACTAAAATCAGGATAAAGGCTTGATGTTGTTGTTGTTCTCACCGCTTATGATCTTATTGGATGTAAGAACAAAACTAAAATAAAAATAAAATAAACTTATAAAAAATAATTCCTTTTTTTTTTTTATCCAAGATGTTTGACTGACTCATAATCTTAATTAATGGCAGACTACGAGGAAACTTATGGACGTGAGAAGGAACAAACACTAAAATCACCTTTTCTATCAGAAATTCTCAAAGGAAACGGTGCTTCAAATGGGTGGGCAGAAACTGGGCAGAGAAGTTTCAGGATTATGAAGAAAAAAATTCAGGAGGCTACTTCTGAAATCAGGCAGACACAGTGGTGACCAAATGTTCTATTTTCCAGTATTTTTGTTGTACAGAACAATGTCAAGTGGTGATCGTTTGAGTTTTCTTCTTTCGAAGATGCCATTACCTCCACCAGCGAAGGCGCACGTAATTATTATTATAATTAAACCGAACAAATTAAATATGCTGAAAATTGGAGATGGAAAAAAAAGTAAAAAAAAAAAAAAAAGATATTGTAAATTGTGGTCATGATTGTCAATTTTTTTTTCTGTGAGATTGTAACTGTGATTAATTCTTAGCTTTCGTAAATATATGACTTCGATTTTTTTTTGTGGTTACTGTTAGCTATTTTTTTCCAAAATTTTAGCATATTCAATCTATCAATCCTTGTCTATGATGCACAGATACGGACACGGCGACACAGATACGACATGGACACGGGTTGGACATGGTATTATAATTTTTATATTTAAAAAATAGTGTATAAAATTGAATAAGTTTAATTTAAAAAATAATAAGTCATTTAATTAAAATTTATGTTTAAAATAATTAATATTAAGATGGTGAGAGATGAGCATTGATGCATCAGTCATCAAGATAAAGAGATGATACTTTTGTTGAGAGTCATGTAAAAATTTTTATATTTTAATAAGTAAAAATTTTAACTACAAGAAATTATATTTTAAAAAAATTATAAAATAATTAGGATATGTGTGTTGGCAATGCGTGCCTAATTTGTATTTAATAGTTTTTAATCGGACATAATTTTGGCGTGTTCGACACGTGTCAAAGTGTCGGATGCATGTCGTGTTGGATACTTATTGGACACTGCATAGGAGAAATGCCGGTGCATCATAGATCCTTATTTGTAGGTCATTTTCATCTCCATTAATGGGACAACCTTTAAAAGCAATATTTATAATAAACATGTGACGTAACTCATCTTAATCTGTTAGTTTAGAGTTTTGGTTGTTAATTAACAAGTCTTGAATTTGGAATTTGCATATGTAAAATGCAAGAGTTTAACTTAAGGACTCAAATGTTTAAAACAAAATTATTAAACATGAAACAACCTAAAATACTATCCCAATAACTCCAAACAATCTCTTTCCTAATACCTAATAGACCCTTCTTTCAAACTACGAACAAGATTCTCAGTTAAACTGATGTAGAAACATCCTAATTATAGTACATCCAAGGAATAATTTATTATTTGTTAGCTTAGGTGTAGATTTTCTAGAATCTTCTATTATAGATATAAGCTATTGTAAGAAAGAAAAATCATTAATGAAAAATTATTCTCTTTGAAGCTTTTGAAATTTGATGTTTATCTTTGAAGTCTGATTCTTCCAATGATCCATCAATTATCTCCCCTTCTTTCAAACTATGAACAAGATTTCTAAGTTAACCTTTGTTTTCTATGTAACTTTCAAGCTAAAATATTAAAAATTTGCAAGAATGTCATCTTTTCTATTTTCAATGTTAATAATGCACAAAATACGGCATTGCACTTAATTAATGTTTAAAACCATACATTGTACAAGGTTTCCATAGATTTTAACCACATTCACACTATTTTAACCTAAAAGGTTAATAATTGCAATAACATATATGTATATAAATATTAAGATACAGAGTTCTAATATAAAATATGCATGGAACTTTGCAGTAATCTGCATGGGGAGCCTCAATAAGCGGCGTACATAAATAGCTATAAAATGATACATGCATGAATGCCAGCAAGAAGTATTACTGTTTCAAGCTAAAGAGAGCTAACCAGAAACGTCTTGAGAAGAAGATCACCGAAGCCAGGCACAGCAGAAAGGTAATGGCCAGTCATGGAGAGCTCATGGTACTCAATCCAGTCAAGACGACGACATACATATCGCTGCAGAGTAACGGGCACAAGCCCGTCTTCATCGCCTTGCCATAAATGTACGTTAAAAGGTGGTTTGTGGAGTTCCATAGGATCAAACTCCCACTTGCCGAACATTACCTTCATGTCCCTGTAATAAGACTCCTCAATACCTTGCTGTGTTGCCAGTTTCTTCCTCTGCAAGCCCACATATCACCATATCAGGCCAATATATGTTGAACATGCATTGATGTGTTCAATTAATTTTTTTATTTTTTTTTGGACATTTATGCCCGGATGGCTTTTTTACCGCTTCTTAAAGCAGCTTTTCAGTACAAAAATTATTTTTTCCTACTAAAAAATTGCTTTAAGAAGCAAAAAGAAAGCTGTTCCAAACGAAGCCTACTCGAATTCAAGACCTCTTAGTTGATCGTCATCTAGATCATATCTATAAAATGGAAAATTATTAGGTCCGGACACGTGGACTGTGTTTTGACTGCGTTCTTTGACTGCACTTTTTGACTCCGCTTTGACTGAGCTTTACCTGCACTTTACATGCGCTTTTAGCGCGCTTGACTTAAAATTCCGCAGACATGTACACATTCCACATGTCAATATTTTATTGAACACCGGACGTAGGACGTATCTCTACGTCCGATGTCCTGACCTAATAATTTTCCCTATAAAATGAATGGAAGAAAGTGATCAGGTAGAGAGGACCTTCTCTAGCATTCCATTTGAGGCAGCCCACTCTCGGACCTGCTCATCGAGGCGGTTAGGAAGGTGGGTTGTGGCCTTGACAACAGTTGATGTGGGCAACCATGACTGCTTCATCCACCAGTGAAGCAGCCATGGAGCATGGTGTGATATTCTGAGCGCCCATTGGTCTCCTAAAGCCTGCTTATTGTAAACCTCCTCAGTTAGGTTCTTCGGGAAGCCTGGCCACCAGTAGTTTATCACCGGAGCAAGAAGCGCAGCTCCGGCAAGCCTACAAATTCAGATCAACAAGTGGGAATTATTGTATTAATTATATTTGAATTCAAATTTCAAGATAATGACATAATAAATTGATAGCTAAGTATTAAATATAATAATTGTAGATTTATTAGTCAAACTTGTGTCATCTAATAGCGAAGTTATTGAGCAGTTATGACTTCAATCTCAAAATTATGCCCCCCAACCCGTGCTTGATTCCCCTCGAGCGGCAGCGCCTCTTCAGTGAGGCCCAATCAAGTGCGGGCTAGGAGATTTCTGGGGTGGGTACTTCTTCGAGGTCAGTCGAGAATTAGTCACGCTGGCAAGCTCCCTTTCGGGGATGATAGCGGGTGGATACCATGTTCCCAAAAAAAGAAATTAGTGGTTGCTGATTAATATAATGAGCCAAGTATCATCATACGAAATCTTGTCATATTTCTACATAATGCATATTTTTATGCATAGAACTTATATAGACAACATTACTATTTTACTAGTACAAAAATTCAAATATAGGATAAAAATCATGCACAACTAGACTTGATGTTATAACATGCTTAAGAGATGTAATCATATTTATTTCTCTTTAAATCAAAATCATCAATAAAAAATTATAGACCTTTTAATAGAACTTATTGTCAATATCTGGCTAAATAAGAAACAAGCTTAATATAAATAGATTTTTTTAGCTTGTTAATAAATTTGAGAGACAAAATTCAAAATAATCTCAAGAACATTTGTATGCGGCTAGTTTATTCCTAAGAGTATTATATCTCTTTAATTTAGTCATTCAACTATACAAAATTGATCCAAAAAGATTTCTAGGAGGCTAGTTTAATATCTCACTTTTGTCAATTTTTAGCAGGGGTTATTTTGGGATCAATTTTGTATAATCAGAAGATTAAATTGAAGAAAAATGACTAAATTAACAGCATATGAATAGTTGAAGACTTTTGAGCTTTTTCTCATGATAATTCAACTAACACAACAAGTTGAACAAGTAAACCCTAAACTTAATTTTATATCAGATTGAGATGGAAGAATCAAAACAGAATAAAACGCACCTTCCAGGGATGTACTTGATAGAAGCCCAAACAGCATGGCCTCCGAGGGAGTAGCCCATGAGGTAAAATCTGGAGCCCAGGTTGAGGGCATCTGCAAGCTCTTCAATGTCTGAGGCCTCACTTCTCAGCGACCGTTTAGGGTTTGGGTCGCTCTCGCTATAGCCAGCGCGGTCATAGCTCACCAAATAAACTCCAAGTTCTTCCATTATTTCCTGCACCCAATATAAAAAACATATCTAGTAAAGTACTGTAGTTTAACTTGGTACCAACGAACCAACTTAGTTAGAAATCATATGAGAAATTCCTCATAAAAACACCATCATTCTACTCTGTATTTTAAGATCTCTGTATTTGGACATTGAGGCTTTATCGATAATAGAGATTTATGAATATAAAAATCTTTAAATAAAATTGAACGGTGAAATGTACCGTTTTATAGAAATTTCTATGAGGAAATCTTTATGAATTCTGTCCAAGGAACATTCACTCGGACATTATTGTTATTTTAAATATTAAAATCAAATATCTGAAAAAGAATACTTCAGGGAACGCACCTTCAAAGTGATATTTATATCCTTTTAACTTAGAATACTATTTTAGGTAAAGTATACATGAGTATACGTACTTTAAACGATTTTAAAAAGGTCGAAATAGTCGATCTTGCAGGATTCTTTCATTCGAATCAGGAGTAGCAATAAGAATTGAATGTTTTCAGTAATTTGGCGGTACCGTTTAGCTCATTGCACAAGTGAAGGAATTCAACGATTCAATTTCAAATGCTGCATATGCTTGGAAAAGCTTTTGAAAAATAAACGGGGCAGTGGCATACGGTACTTGTGTCCTAAACAACTCGTGACGGTCGGTAGAGAAATATAAATTTAAACATTTTAGTTTTGTACAAAAATTCAACACAAAAATTGATGAAAGATTGAGGTATGTAGTGTTTATATGAGACACCAGAGTTTTTGCATAGAAACCTCTGAAAATGGAGAAAAATTATGGGGCTTTGCTCAGTTTAAATGAATCCACTAGTGTTTGCAGTTGATTACATATGAGGCCATTCCTTGGGGGGATGGGCTTGGCTTGATGTAACAAATATACATCATATAGAGTGCATTGCATTGTGGGAGTTAAAAGAATGAATGTTGACATATTCATTTGGTTGGTAGGATCATAGTCGACGGGCGAGATTAGTCGGAGGGACTATAGTCGACGGATGACGGTGGTCGGAAGGATCGTAGTCGACGGGCGACGGGGGTTAGAAGAATCTTAGTCAAGTGACAGTGGTCGGAATGACCGTAGTCGACGGGCGATTGAGGTTAGAAGGATCGTAGTCAGGTGATGGTGGTAGGAAAAATCGTAGTCGGCGGACGATGGTGGTCGGAAGGACCATAGTTGACGGATGATGGAGGTCAGAAAGACCTTAGTAAAGCGACGACGGTCGGAACTACCGTAGTTGGCGGGTGATGGAGGTCGAAAAGATCGTAGTTGGGTTACGGTGGTCGGAAGGGCCATATTCGGGTGACGATGATCGGAACAACCGTAGTCGACGGGCAGCGGAGGTCAAAAGGACCATAGTAGGAGGGCAATGGAGGTCAGAAGATTATAGTAAGCGGGCAACGAAGGTTGAAAAGACCATAGTCAGACGACTGTGGTCGGAAGGATCGTAGTCTGGCGATGGAGGTAGTGTCAAAATCCAACATTTCAAAAGCAAACCAAACCAACTGCTACAGTGCTCAATCCGGGAACGTAGAACTCACGCTAGAACTCTTTCCATATTCAAGCTCCTGATTTAAGAAGGATTATATTAAAATTATTTTGTAATTACTTGTTTCCATATTAACTTATTAAGGTATCTTGTATAGATCTATAAAAAAAGGAGAAATTATATAATAAAACAAGCTTTTCTTCTCAAACCTCTGGTGGTTAAAAGGATCGTAGTCGACAGACGACGAAGGTCAGAAGGACTGTAGTCAGGTGACGGTGGTTGTAAGGACCGTAGTTGGCTAACGACGGTGGTCGGAAGGAACATAGTCAAACGACAGTGGTTGGAAGGACCGTAGTTGGCGGGTGATGGAGGTCAGGAAGACCTTAGTCGGGCGACAATAGTCGGAAGGACCGTAGTTAACAGGTGATGAAAGTCTGAAAGATCGTAGCGGGTAACGGTGGTTTGAAGGAACGTAGTCGAGAGATGGTTGTCAGAAGGAATGTAGTCGGTGGGTGATGGTTATCGGAAGGAACATAGTCGGCAGGCAACGGATGTCAGAAGGACCGTAGTACATGGGCGACGAAGGTTGGAAAGACCATAGTCGGACGACGGTGACCGGAAGGATCATAGTCGGGTAACTGAGGTCAGAAATATCGTAGTTGGACGACGGAGATCGGAAAGACCATAGTCGGCAAGCAACATTGATGTCAAAGAAAAAGTCGAATGACGGTCGGTGGTCAGGCGAGAGTTGGTGGCCGGGCAAAAATCCAACGATGATTGGTGGCCAAGTGGTGGTCTAGGAGAAGCTTTGTGGCAAGAGAGATCCCAAATTTCTCTTCATTCTTCCTCTTCTTTCTCTCTCCCTCCTTGTTTGATCCCCATTTAGTGAAGAATTAGGGGCATGTTTATAATTTTTTAGGAGTGACATAACCATTAAATAGGGAGAAGATCAAGGGCATGTTGGGAGTATTTTGAATGGATGGCCGATATCGATTCTCTAGATTATTAACCATTTATCGAGTATTTGAGTGCCTTAATGATGCCAGAATTCGATGATCTTGAGCTCGTTAAATTCATATCATCAAGTCTCTCGATTCGACTATAAACATGCGATATTTGAATATCATTTGATCATCCAATTTATGCTTTGAAGCTTCCAAACATGCTTTGGGCCCTCGATTTGGACCCATTTGGCCTCCGATTGGATCGAATTTGATGTAGTTGGGTTCGTTTTTTCGAGATGTTTAGCTAGACTAAAGTTTGCTGAAATCGAAGTTCGGATGGTCCCAAATTTAATTTAAAAAATTTCCCACTAAAAATTTTCTCGAGATTCACGCCCGATCAAGATAATTTTTTGATGATATATCAGTACTAAAAAATTAAATGTTTGCTATATTTACAGGTAAGTTTAATTGAAGGTATAGATTTAAAGTAAATAATTACTAGTGATTTCTCTTGCTGGATTTCCAAAGGTTTTTTTTTATTAGTACTATAGATAGTAGAGAAATTCAGGACGATGTTTGTTAAGTACAGTGACAGACAGCAATATTTGTAATGGCGAATATTCTCCTTTCTCAAAGCCAGATATTTCTCATAGATCTATCAATAATGCTATATATCTAGATCCTCCTACTTACATAAAAAAAAAAAAAACAAATCCAATCTTTCTGACCATTTCAAAAGTAATTTTGAAAACAAATAACACAAAAAGCATCCTAAATTAGAAATACCAGAGTTTGGGTTTTTGGATGTATGCGTGATACTATGATGGGAGTTCAATATAAACATTCTCATCCCCACTAATCTCCGTAACTCCTAGATCCCTACTTCCATAACAATATACTCATCAATAAAGCAACGCTTCTTATAACCACATAATCATATATTTTCAGCATAAATTTTGATTTGGCATGCTATGCATGAAAGAAGGGTGTAGGAGAATGAAGTGGTAGTATCATAACTTTTATGATAGGATAGGATTTATTTTAAAAAGATGTAGAATGGATGAATATGAAGAAAATATTTTCAACAATAATATTATAAACCAAGATAAAGTTTTTAGTTGTTTATGAGTATTACATAAATTTATTAATACGAAATGAGCATATGTGTGAAAAGGTTGGAGTAGCTCCACTGGAAGATAAGATTAGAGAGAGTCGTTTTAGATGGTTTGTTCACATAAAACGACGGCCTTCCGATGACCTGTTAGGAAATTAGAGGTACTAGATTTGACTTATATTAAGAAAGGTATAGATATACCTAAAAAGACTTGGTTAGAAAATATTAGAAAAGATTTTTTTTTATTAGATTCAAATGAGAATTTGCCTTTTAACATGACACAATGGAGAAAAAGGATTCATGTAGCGGACCCCACATAATGGGACAAAGGCTTGATGTTGTTGTTGTTGTTGTTGTAAGAAAATATTTTGTTACCCTCAAATTTCTATAGCAGATCCCAAAGTCAAAATTTGGAATGCAAAAGATGGTGTCTCTCTTACATTTCACTAACTGTTTACGGTTCCAAAGCCTTACAGGTTCAAAAACCTTATCTGAGCTTCTTGGTTTTACTGAAAGTTGAATTCTACCTTTCTGCATGGTCCTGAAGCAAACCCTTACAATCGGGCCATCTTTTGCTGTGCAAGGTGTTGTTCACCCATCTTTCTGGTTCTCTTTGGATCTTATTTGGGGAAATATTACAACAACAACAACAACATCAAGCCTTTGTCCCACTTATTTGGGAAAATATTACATGAGAAAAAATCAGTAAAGTTTGTATTTAGCCTGTGTATTATATAGTGCATTAATGTGCACAAAATATTTAATATAATATTATGTTTACAATTTTACACTGATACATATAAATTTATAGGTAAATCGCATGCATACCTCAATGAGCATTTGACTATAGTAATAATGTCACCTATTTTGGGGCATCCGTATATCAAATTAATGGGAATAAGGGAAGAGTTCAATATCATAAAATTCAGATAAGTGAATAAAACTTAATTTCCTCGTTGTTATCATCATCAAATCCAGTCTTATGTTCAGGAGCTGCATGAAACATGATTCAGCAGTAGATTGGAAGCTATTGTGACATTTTTTTTATTAGATTTAACAGACTAACTCTTATTAGGACATAATGGAGAAAAATAATTTATGTTTCTGACCCCACAGAGTGGGATAAATACTTGTTATTATTTTTGTTGTAGATTGAAAATTTAGTAATTTATTACTTACTGAAAAAAGATGCTTATTTATAGACATGCATGATAGATATAACAGAAAATAAATAAGGAGACTAAACACAATAATGAGGGAGTAAATGTATATTTCCTTGACAAAAATGCTTTACTAATATAAATTCTCCTAATTTGTTAGAAAGTACAACATATGAATGAAACATTAAGAGTAACAAAATTCTTAGAAAGTACAACATATGAATGTGATAGGAACCCCTTGGATTTCCAAGTGTCTCTCACCAAAAACAAAAAGATCCAAGATGAA